CGAATACTGTTTCAAACCCCAACCCATCCGGAATGCCTTTATAAACCAACCCTCCATATGAACCACAGCCTCCACATCTAAAACACGGGATTGGTTTTATTTCGATGGCCGAAAAGTCTAGTGTGAGGCATTCATTTTTCCACTGTAGTTTCCAAGCGGAGAAGTCTACCGCCGAGACAAGTAAAAACCATGAGAAAAAACCTGTTGAAAAAATTTTTCATAGTAGGAGGACTTTTATACCCTGGGCGTTAGTCACAATGCAATGTAGGTGTCCTCCAATCTGGGCTAGGGATACCTGTAGACTACATTGTAGGGCCTGCCAGGTCAGAGTAAAATTGTTCTTTGTTGCTCGCTGTTCACATGTATGTCATGTACGCCTTGGCAATCATTGAGCAATGTTTATTTCAAATTACTCGTACATGTACCTGTAGGCCTAACTGTTATTGACCTATGAATGAGCATTACATTATTTGGATATGACTGTCTGAGAAATGCAGTAGGCTAACTGACTATGCCCGAGACATGGCAATTTTGTAAACAAACAGAAAATAAGCTTTTTGACTTTGCACATATGTACATGTACTTGTATAGTGAACATGGTGAACAAAAATGTGGATCTGTCACAATGAATCTACTTAATGAATTACAATTTATGAATTTTATATCCTTCAGATTTCATTAAAGGACTCTGTCTGATGTCATGATGGCTTCACGCTTGAAGAGAAAGGGTTTCAAAACTCCGACTAAAAAATCGCCCCGCATTGAAGCTTCGAATCTATCCATTTTGGAAGAAGTCAGAAGTCAGCGTGGTTCCTCTAAAGTCCAGACGCCACCATCCTCAAGTCGTTCAACGTGCTTCAAGAAGTCTCCACGCACTTCCAGCCCCAGTAAGGTCAGCCCAGTAGGGAGTTCCAAGTACTCCCCACATTTCAGCCGAAAGAAAAGAACGAAGCTTTTCCAAGAACTGTCCTTGGGAGCTGATGCTAAGAGAAAAGATGCGGTGCCTGCTGAGGAGTCCAGGAGTAAAAATACCATCGAGAAGTTCTTCTCTCAAGCACAGCCTCAGAAATTTGTGCCTTGCCCTGTCTGCCTGGACCAGGTTCCTTTGATTGCCATCAATAAACATCTGGATAATGGATGCTTACATGCAGATCCAAGTGCCAACGATGATGATGATTTCATCCAAAAGCCATCAAACAGCACTGGAAGCGTAAAAGTGAACAAGGAACGGAAAGCTGCTGAAGTGACTGTTTCCAGTCCTCTGAGGAAGATTGCAGAGGTGAAGTCAGATGTGAAGGATAGGCGAGTAAGACTGAGGTTAAAGAGGAAAATGGAATCGCATCCGCTCTACAGATCCAGCTCAGATGTTGCCCAACCTGCCAAAACTCTTACAAGTGAGAGTGTGCCTTCTGCAAACTTCACCAGAACTGACTCCTCCCCCCCACAGGAGAAACTTGTCACCAGTGAATACTTCAGTTCAGATGAAAACTCAGGTCATAGTTCTTCAGAGGTCATAAAACCTCCTCGTTTGAAAAAAAGGCTTTCATCACCTCATTCTTCAAGGAGCCTTGGTCAAAGAGCTACACCTTCGAAAGAAGCTGAGGACATCCCCGAAGGAGATTACAGTTGCCTGGAGAGAAAGCTGAGTAACGCTAGTGAGTGTTCGACAGTCATTCTCTCTTCACAGAGCCAGGGGATTCCGGAAGCCCAGGAGGATGTCTTCGTCATGTATGCCAACTCCTCAGTCAGCTATTCTAGTCAAGAAATGCCCAGCGATATTCAATATGACACATCTCCTGAATATGCCAAGTTGTCCGTCTCCAAATCCGGCTATCTAAAGTATGACAACTTGACCCCAGGTTTGACCTACACCAGCATAGCCTCTGATGAGGGAGACCCAATCTCCGACAGGGAGGACACCACTCCAGATTCCTTGACACCCACCGCTTTCTCCTCCAGCACAGACAGCTCCTCAGGAATCGGGTCCCAATCATCTTTCAGCAGAAAACCTTGCCCGGCAGGCCTGACAGATGATCCTCTAGGCACAAGCAGCCAATTTGTCAACAGTGAGACAGTCCAAGAGGGACACTTCATGCCTGTTGGTCTCAATGAGGAATCTGATCTATCCTCCACCCCGTCACACCAAGACCTTCAGGATTTTTCTGAACCTCTTACCAGCAGCTCTAGGCAATCCACAAGCTCGCTACCTTTGAGCGAGACAAGTGCGTCGACATCCAGCAGTTCTTCGGAGAGGAGTAATTCTTCCCAAGGGTTGTCATTGACTATCGTCACGCCAAAGAAAACCTCTGGATCCAGTTCACCGTTGAAAAGAGCAGCAGAGGCAAGCAGCCCCGCCAACAGCCCTTGGAAGTACAGGGATCCTTACTTCTTGGTCAACTTCAAGCTGATCCTCAACACTGTTCTGGCCAGCGAGGATGATCGTAGTCTCTTCAGTGACCAGGACATTGACGTCATCGATACATTTCGGAATCTGTCAGGTACCAAAATCTGAATATGGCCAAGAACTTGATCATTCAACAAACCATGCATAGTTTGGTTAATGTGCATGAAGTCAATCAAAGCCAACTACATGTACATGTACATATACGTTCACTTAAAGGCAACAGGAGAATGTACATGTACATGTACCATACAGATTTTCAGGGTCCCAGCCAGGAAATTTTAAGTAACCCCTGATAAGTTTTTTGTGCTCCATTGTAAATTTATGCCCCTTTTTATGTTGAGGACTTGCATGTTTTAGGACTACAGGCAAAGTTTGTAAATTCATTGTACAGTTTGATAACACTGGTGACTGGCGGCTGGAACACAGAATGTCATTAACTGTCAAAGAGTTGGGTAAATTTTGAACCGTCTCACAGCTGGGGGAGGGTGGACGGGCTGAATTCTGCCCCTCCTCGCCCCAAGAAAATTGCATTCAGCTGTCATTTGATCATTTTCATACTTAGTATGCAAGTACCTAAAGACACTGATCAGAAGATATGTGAAGTTCCAGTTCAATATAACAGAGGGCTTTGGTGTAATGGTCATTTAAAGTTCATGACCTCAAATATGTAAAGCTGCATGCATTGAGTACGCGATGGAAAACGTACATGTCCATGTATGGAGTTTTGGCTGACCTGTCTGGAACAGTAAGCCTTGCGTGAGGAAGATATGTCTGATTTTCACAAACTTGGTGTCCAAATGACTGCAAGATGTTACATGCACCTGATACGTTAACTCCTGAAGGCTTGGCACATGAAAACAGTGATCTGCGATGATACTAGCGAAAATGTTGAGGGGTGTGGATTCTGCACCCCCTCTTCCGAATCTTTTGTGGTTAAACTTGTTCAGTAACTTACAATGTACTTTGTAAGTTTGTCAATAGTAAATATGCCTGCACATGTTTAAATATACATGTGCTTTTCGCTCAGACACCGCTTTTCCTGAGTTGAGTGCATCAAACTTTTTTCTGCCAGATTGGCTCTCTCTTTAGCTAATTCATACCAGAAATACATGTAATCTTGTTAAGTTCTGCTTTTTCACCAGCACCATCACAGCAGCTGTATGTTCGACTGTTCCAACGAAAGCATGCCTGGTTGCAGGTTGGCAAGCTGGATTACAAACGTATAGCTGTGGACCTGACACCTGTGGTGGCTGAGCTTCAGGAGGCAGGATTAGTGCAAACAGGTAGTGATATCACATGACCGGATTTCATCAATTTCTCTGTGGTAGTTTTTGTTGTGCAGTCCTGTTAGTTAGGCTGTTAAGTGGTGGTTTTGGCGACACCCTCTTAAGACCATAACAAGATCCCATAAGACCACCAAGAGACCCCACAGGACCATCATGACCCCACAAGACTGTAACAAGGCCCCACGAGACCATCACAAGACCGTCGCAACATCCCACAAGACAGTCACAAGACCATGACAAGACCCCACAAGACCGTAACAAGACCCCCCGAGACTGTGAAGAGATGCAACAAGACTATCACGAGACCATCACAAGACCGTGAGAAGACCCCATAAGACCAACACAGGATCCCACAAGACCAATACAAGACCCCTGTCTGAGTATGAGTCACAAGCTATTCAAATGAATTGCAACAGAAACATTCTTTCATTGTTGATCACATTATAATGTACTGGTTTAATTCTGATCTTGTGAATCGTCATGTGTCTGGTCTTGTGCCTGGTCTTGTGTCCTGTCTTTTGACGTGTCTTGTGTCATGTCTTGTGTTGGCCTCAACTGCCACACTGCTCTGAAGTAATGATAAACCTGTGAGACTTTACTACAGACGGTAATCACATGGATGTGCGCCTGGTTTCAGGCAATAACATATAAAACCTTTTTGCAGTTCTGAGCCAGTGTTTCAGATTCAGCTCAAGCTTGATGTGATTTCATTATTTCCTCGTAGAGCAAGATCTGACTGACTTTGATGTGGTGTTGAACCTGTGCTCTGCACCTGACCTGAAAACCTTTGCCAAGACTCTGCGTCTGGCACCCTCTGTTGGCCAGACCAAGGCAGATCTGGTGGGCGCCTTACTGAAACATGGTCGACAGCAGCGCTCGCTGTTCGCCGGTAGCATGGAGCAAGTCCTCATCAAAAAGTAAAGCATATATATATTTGGTCATCCTCTTGCCAATATACTTAATAACGTTTAGATATTCTAAATTGGTTAAGAGCACCTGTTATTCACTTTGAAAGATATATCTGTCCCAAGCCAATAAGGCCGAATAGGCTTGTGCACAAATACACGGGTAGGCCTTTCCCTCTCTGAAGGGACCATTACTTTTGTTAGGAAAGTCAGAACTGAGTTGTGGGGACAAAACGCTTTTGGTCTCCATACATATACCTGTAACGTCTATATTTCAGCCTGCGTTGTCCCATTAGCCCGGAAATAAATATGTGTACATGTGTACATGTACGTGCATTTAACTTTTGTTTTCAGGCATGAAGCAGCTGCGAGTATTTTGTTACCTACATGTATGGATGGAATTATCGTTAATGTGGTCAAACTTGGTAGCCAGTTGGCTGAACTGTGTTTAAAAATGCAACATAAACCATACATGTAATTGATCACAGATTGCAACACACATTTTTGAAAAAGCCCTTAGCCAATGCCAGCAACTCATTTATAATCCTGGGTTGAGAAACCATAGGGAAGTTGTGGTAAAGTGGATTGCCCAAGGACACAATGTTTATGGATCTGACTACTTGACTTTTTGAGCACACATGTAGATCAGAAACCAGACCAGGCCACACTCCCCTAAAAGTTGCTTAGGAAAAAAAAAAATGATCTCATTTGAAGTATCTTAACTTTCGCTCTGTCCTTATTTCTAGAGCTAAGAAGATGATTGGTGCCTGTCTCCGTCTTAGCAACGAGCCCCGAACCATCTTTTCCCGTCTTCTCCTCCTCTTCTCGCTTACTACAGACATGGATGAGGAAGACAAAGCCAGCGGGGGAATGTCTCAGTTGTAAGTCTCACTTTAATTCGCTCCGAGCGCATTAAACAAAAGAGGGCATGTTTCTTTTTAGTACTGACTGCATAGGCATACAGGCGTGTGTTTATAATGGGATCAATGGTACGTGAGTACGCGTAACAAAGTTATTCCTTAATGTATGGTCTCTGCGTACACTCAGAAGGCGTGCAAGAACCCGCTTGGAAAACTTACTACCACCTGCCTTTCTTTTGCCGCTTAGAGGTCCATCCCATGATAAGGAATAAAGGCACCATTAGAAAACACACCTTGTGCAGATACGTAAGCGCTGTGAAATTACCATGATTGAATTGTTTTGGAGTCTAAGTGTTATGTCTAACCTGGAAAAACTTTCAGACATAAATTTCTTTCGCACATCTCGAATGAGTGAATAATCAAATTAGCCAGTCAACTTTAATGAGCTGATTTACTCAGAAAAAAAATCTCCCAAATAATGCTGTGGAAGTTTTTCTTAATCACAAAAAAGCACTGATGCCAAAATGGTAGAAAGACAATACTCTTTTTCAAATAATGGATGTCTCTATCTACTCACTATGACAGTGCACCCAGTGTGTACCATAGTGGATATGTGTTTGTCAAATGTTGTAGTTTTTGTTTTCCAAAACTGGGATTTTTCATCTCAAATGATTGATTTTACACATGTAGCACTTTAAACTTCATGTTTTTTAGCCCTTACCCTACAAGACCCTTCAAAATCCACCATGGGATTCTAAAAGATCTGAAAGCTTTCCTTCATTTTTAAGTGTTGTCATGTTAACTAGCTGTAATACAAACTTTTACTTCCAACTTTTGCAGGCAAACATTGCTATTATCCAACATGGGACGTGTGATCTACCCAACCTACAAAGTAATGAGAACAGTGAAGATTTTTTCCACAAAAGATGACCTACTCAGGTCAGTAGTATCTAAATGAGCGGGTTTGCTTAATTACTCATTTGATCACTCATATCACCATTGTTCTAATAGTGGTATACTCACATTTCTTAAAATAAATTATTTATGTCGATGCTTACATGTAGATCACCACTGTTTAAATAATCACTTTTCTTAGCCCTAATTCTGTAGACATTTTACCTGAGTTCTTTACAATCCTCCAACTTTCTCTGCTTAAAAAATTGGATACGGCCTCAGTCTTCCAAAATCCTCAATTATTTCTTGATTGTGGTCCTGCATTAAATTTTATTTTCTTTTAGACATTGTTCATGCAAGACACTGCCAACAACTGAGAAACATTTCCAATAGATGTTGAAAATTTGGACTAACAACTTGATCCCTGATTCATCAATGTACTTGTATTATCAACTATCCATACATGTAGGTATGAGACTGCCCTCCATTATGAGACTGACATAGCCTTAGCCATGAGTACCAATGACTTCGACTTGGCTTACCAACTGCAGCAGAAGGCAATGAGCATCTTTGAAGAAATTCAAAAGGATTCAAAGATCCTGAGGTGAGTTTGATTCTGTCTCGTCAAGGGGACTCAGATTTATATTGTCGCAGGTTTTCAATCCAGCCCAGCGGTTGAATTACATTTTGAAAGACTTGTATCAGTTTTCCTCATGGTGTGATGTAATTAATCTGTAACTTTGTCAAGATTGCTGTTTTGATTTGTCAAATTTATTTCTGACAATGAGGCAGGAATTCCTAAAGAAATCCGTCCACTGAAAAGAATCTCAGTCTCATTACAGGAAACCTGTCCAGCTAATGACAACTGTGTACATACGTTGTCTTATACTGTACATTTGTTACCCCGTAGATTCAAAGCCCATGAATTTGAGTGTATCGTTGTATGGCACCAGACTATGAAAAGGTCTGTCGCATTTCAAAAGACTGGACCTGATGTAGGTTGTATCGTTTCATTGCCTGCCTACTTTGACATCCCAGCCACGACCTGTCGCTGCCCAATTTCATTCGCCGCTTCACCGCGTCCTGGACCTATACTCGTACTGCCTACACCGGCGTGGAGATCCTACAAAAGCTCCGCCGCTACACTGAAGCTGTGGACGCGCTGCGACTACTCCTGGCCCAGAGTAACTACTGCTGTGACAGCAGGGGGCGCTGGTGGGACCGACTCGCACTGAACCTGGACCAGCACCTTAAGAAACCAGAGCAGGTTCAAAAGAAGTCGTCCCTTGAAATTAAATTCAAGCAATAAAAGTTCTGAAGTTCAATTGATGGGTTTTTGCTTTCTTGTTCAATTTATAAAGACTTATGAGCTGTTTCACATTCAAATGTATGTATTTTATATCTCTTAGATTTTGTATGAGTTGGTTTATTTTGTTTGAATGCTTAGTGTATAGCTACTGTTGCTACGTTTTTAGCTAGGTTGTAATGCGCTCATAAATTACTATTCTTATCATCATTATTAGGCTCTTGATGCAGTCCAAGAAGGTCTAGCAGATGGCTACGTCAGAACGGGTCATCGCTTGGCACTCCAGCTCCGAGCCCAGAAAATTCTCAAGTCGGCCAGCGGCAAGCGGTTCCGGAAAAGACGAGACGACTTCACCTTTGACCCTGTCAGAGAAATGCCAAGGGTGAGGGATCACTTGAGGGTTGACTAAAACTTTCCAAGCTACTGCCCTGAGATACAGTCCTGGGGCGTTAAGTCTAGGGACTCTGGTTCAGTTCAGGGACTTTGTCTCCTGTTGGTTTTTCTTGCAGACAGTGAGAATTGTGAATTAATATAGTAAACCCTTTTGAACAACCCCACTCCTCTTTACACTTTCCCAAATGGTGCAGAATTTCAAGAATTTTTTTCATAAATTCTCTGATATTAACCCTAACCCTCCTCAATCCTTCACCTGTTGGAGGATTGAGGAGGGTTAGGGTTAAGGAGTCAAGAAACAGTGACATGTATTGGAGATTTTCATATTCACATCGGTGAAATAGGTCAGGTCAATTTAAGTTGGCTTGGTAGTCAAATCAGCATATTCCCCGGGGGAATGTTTATGAGAGCAAATAGGTCACACTGAGTTCCTTCAATTGGCATATTCAGGTCACCATTGAAGGTCGAGTCTTGCCATACCAAGCCCCTGGAATCAAGAACACCTTTGTGAGAGAGTGGACGGGCGACAGGAAACGAGAGGGCGACATGGCAATATGTCGGGTGGAGGAAGTAGCTCTGGAGCATTATAAGGGGCTGGGTTACCCGGAAGGTATGCTAGAAACGATCAACTAAGAGTTTGTGTGCATAATTTGTGAGGTTAGGTCATTTGGTTGATACAGAAATAGTTCACTGAAAGCAAGATAACAGACCAATGGAATTTCTTCGTAAAAATCCATATGTTTGTGTAGCATATTTCTAGTAACATCGATGAAGACTTGGCTTGCTTTTTAGTCGAAAAACTTTGTTTCAGATAATTTGAATTTGCTTTAGGATGTAAAGATCGTTCTCTGATGTGATGTGTAAGTTTTCCTTTTCATTTTGTAGGTGTCCACGGGGAGGGAAGCACTTTTACCACGCTAGTATCCCTTCTCTTCTGGGATCTGATCTTCCTGGAGGGAATTCCTGATACCTTTTGCTATCCCTATCAGGTAAGAATGCAAGGGATTTTTACGGTGGTGTCCTGCTGGGAAACATATAATGTGATCACCTGTAAAACTCGGCCTTTTTTCTAATCCAGGCCTGAACATTAAATTTTTTTTTAACTACTTGTCCATCGGGCAAGTAGCACTGAGAATTTACTTGCCTGAGGTAAGATTTTACTCGCTGAAATGCTGGTTTAGTTGCTCATTGCTTCCCGGGACAGTAAGTTCCTTCCTTCAACCAATCACCGCTGATGAAATTGCTATGCCACAATACGACATGAATATACATCACCCCCCAACTATTGCATGTATGCAGAGACGGCGCAGGACTCTGATGCATCATTCATTAAAAGTTTGGGCAATGGCTATTTCTTAACCACTCGACGATTTTACCTGGTGTCATATACATGTATGCAAAAAGTACACACACAAGTACCAGGCAAAATTCACTCAAGATGAAGTCACAGCCACGTGTAAAAACAGTCTTCGGCCATCAAAGCTCCACTGTGCCACGCATGCAATAATCAATGAGGTTTGGTACCCAGACACAAGGGTATTTAACAGTTTATCTGTGTACGCATTTTCCCTTGTGTGGAAAGGTGCCCTGCTAAATGTACATTGTGTATGTACATGTACGTAACTGCGCAAAGAAATTCTACACCACGTAGCTTTATACTTTTTACCACTTTTTATAAGCTTTTGAGAAGAGGAAAAAAAATTCAAAGGTAAATTTGCGGACTGCTATTCTTGGCCACGAAAAAAACAATTCAGAAAAAAGTACCTGTCCATCGGGCAATTTGTCCTTGATTTTAACTTGCCTGAAAGAAGAAATGACTTGTCCAGGGCAATTGGACAACCTTTGATATCGAGGCCTGTTTTAATCCCCAATGATATTCATGGAAACATCGGTGCTAAATAGATTTCAAATCATACCTGTTATTGTCACATTGCAGAGTACTTTTTCTAACTACCAAAATGTTAATGAAGCTAAAAGCTTAATTATCAAGCTTGAGAAAGGCCACAAGTAAGAAATGAAATGAAAAGGAGTAAGACTACTGTACACTGCATATACTGAAGTGATCTGACTTTCGATTACAGCAGAATTTTTTCTCAAAGAAATTTCAAATGCTGCCTTTCCTGACAGTCTGGTCCACTTGACATACGGTCGGACTGTTTCTTCCTGAATCGGAAAGAAGCTCTAGAACAGCGACTATGTGAGCTCAGGCAAGCAGACACCGAGGAGCTGCAGGACAAGCTGGAAACCAGCTGGATGGAGTACCATGGGGAGCAGTGTACCGGAGTGAGCTGGGATCTCTTCCGTGATGTCCACCATGCCAAGGTACGTGAAGTCTAGGTGCAAGACAGAATGAGCCGTGAAAGTCAGATTCGAAGTCTTTGAAGTCTTGTACTTCAGAACAAGAACCCTCCTTTGGTTGCGGTAATCTCTGCCTTGATTTTACACACATGGTGAGTCAGTTACATCTTCTCAGGAAGAATGCCAAATCTTGACTTGCATATTCTTTTGAAATGCTAAATTGTCTTTTTGCAGTGACCTATGTTGATTGTCATTTCCACGTGTCTGACAGGGTCTCTTAGCCTGTCTTGGAGGTGAATTCCTATCAGCTATCGCAGAGAGAATCCTGAGGGACCATCGGCATTGCAGAGGTGGTATGCCAGACCTGACAGTCTGGTGTCCGGTGTCGGGCAAATTCAAGGTGAGCCTCGCAGGGATGTGATGAATTACGGAGTATGGTTGACAGCTTTGAGAAGCATTACTTGGAAGGCCCAATTGGGTACACTGCCAGTCCTTACTGGGAACATGTTCTGGTTGGTAACACTCTTAAAGGGGCAGATGTTCTCAGTTGGGCAGAGACATCACTTGGATGTACAAAGACAGATAAGAGCATTGATAATACAAGGTCATATTTACAACAAGGACAACTTTTGGTCTCAAGTCTTCATTTTTCTTTTCTGTAAACTGATAACACAAGGTAACTTTTATAATTAGGTAATTTGTAAAGTTCCAGGGACCTTGTTATAACGGTGTTCCACTGGACATGTATTAATTTGACATTTCGGAATGATTTGTTAATCAGCATAGTTCTTGAATTTGATTTACTCAAGGGTGAAGGTGGATGAGAATAAAGCGCTTGTCCTCCAAAGATGGAAATATTGTCAAAGAGATAATTGGGGTGTTTTTAGCTGCAAATTTGTCGTACTTATTCCAAATCAGTTTGATGCACTGCTGCACTTATACGAGCGCATGAGATATCTCAAATGCAATTAACTTGCTTTTGAAAACTAGATGCATGCGTGATGACAACAGTACTATAAGTGCATGCATAAAAGCAGGACGTCGATACAAATACAAGGTTGAGTTAAATGTTGAGAACTCATTTCTGCTCAGGTGAATTTTGTTAGAAAAGTTTTGTGACCATTGCATTTAGGCTGAGTGTGAACTAACCTTCAGAAAAGTGAAGCATATTTATTAAAAGTTTACAGGTTTTTTTAAGGACTATGGACAGAAGAGAAGAATCCAGTGGGGAAAAGTTAAACCTGGAAGGTTCTACCCAGAAGTGACCCTAAGTTTACACAAATTTGAAAAAAATGCCACTTCGTACCTCTCCTGTTTGTTTTTTTCATTTGGAACAAGTTTTAATTTTTGTCTTGCTTGCTAGCTGGTGGAAGTGAAGGGGCCAGGAGACCGTTTGTCCCACAAGCAGATTCTGTGGATTGATTTCTTTCTGTCTCTGGGTGTTGATGCTGAGGTCTGCCACGTCACAGGTCTGTTGATTAGAATTTTGTCTTTCTTTTCTCCTGAAACACCTTTGTGTTTTTTCCAAAGACTGTTCAGGCTCTTCATAGGTGTTTGGTCCACTTGTATACATCATCCTAATGTTTTCTTTAACTGTTCGAGGGCAAATCTCTCTTGGCAAAACCGAGGACGTTTATTTAGGATTTGTGATCATCATATTAGAAATTCAGAAACACCTAAACAGAATCCAACTTGTTGCCAAATCGGGCCACCTGTTTGTTGAACTGTCACTGTTTCTGATATATTTTAAAATTCGACTTCCCACTAACTCATCTTGTGGACGTAGAGAAGGATTCAGCTCAGTAGCAGAGGAATTTTAATACTTCTTTGTTACCTTTTGTTGCAGCAATTGGGTCCAAACGACTGAAGCTCACGAGAGCGCTCAGCAGGCAGAGCGATGTGACAAGTTCCTCCAGTCAGAATTAAATTGGTTCACACCGGCTCGGGATACTGGGTCCATTCTGCAAATTGTAGCTTCAGAATCATCTTGGTCTCTGAAATCATTGCCAAGCATTGACTGTGAATGGTAGACAGATCATGAATATATTTTGAGTGCAGAAGAATGGAGCATTTTGTCTGTCTCCAACTGAAATTGTTCTGACCAATGCACTCATAAACAGTCATTTTTTATACAGTACCTGCATAAATCCAAGGTCAGCATTTCCTACAAGTTCCAGTATTTCCTCTTCTGTTGGGAAAACAAATAGTCCTCGTATATGAATTTTGCAAAACAGACTCAAGTCCTCAGAAGTGCCAACCACTGGTAGTACTGTGCAATGTTAGACTGGTTCCTATCCATAATTTATTTTCCTCTCTTACTAGAAATGAAATACATGCAATGGCGGGAACCAGTCAAAGTGAAATGAAGTTCTATTCAATGGGTACGGTTGAATGGAACAAATAATTCAGAAACGTGATAAATGATGCACCAATCAGATGATGGGGACTAGGCAGTTATTGTATGATATTGAATTAAAAGATAATGAAAACTTTGACCTTCCATTAGACAGTTTAAAGTAGCTGCATGAAAAGGTGGAGCTACACTGATGACAGATGGGGGGGAGTCACGGCTTAGGGCTCTCATTCAGTAAGCTGTAGCCTGTAGCCAGAGCTGAAGAACGATGTGGCATTAGCTAGATAATCAAAGTACATGTATTGCATACCAACCAGTACTGAACCTTTACCTGAATATATGTAAAAATTTGGTTGGTAACCAATGAATTGTCTTTTTCAGTGTTTACTGCTCAAAGAGCAAATTTTGCTTAGCAAATTAATATTGCTTACCAGATTAAGATTACTATTCAGAGAATATCACATTCTTAAATGTCTGATAGCCTCAGGTAAATTTTTGTTAAGTAAATTTCAACATTTTCACCTCAGGAATGTTTTGCAATTAGAGATATGAAAAAGTTAAGGCTTAAACTGTAGCCCTTGATAAAGGGCAAATATGTACTGTAATCTGTAAAATAGCCTTTATGTCGATTGGCAAATGACAACTCTCACGTTTTTTAATAATGTTCCACTAGGAAAAAAGTAAAGTGTGATTTAGTAAGTAGTAACACTATCGATCACCATCGATTTGAACATTGGATCGTTGTGATGCTATATACCAGTGCAGTACTGAGATACTTGCCTCGATGTGTTCAGGACATCAACTTAGGGCTGGATGGAATATCTTAAATGTTCTTCCTTGGTTGACCTTTTGTGTTCCACTGTGACCGGTTGATAATGTCTCAGTTGTTCTTTGAAACTCCAGCTCCAAATATTGAACACCACACTGCTTAGGCCTTGGAATACTGCCAAGATTTTCTTTCTCTTTAAAGTTTCGTGCGGCAATGTGAGTCATCTTTAGCTTTCATTCATTCTTTCTTTCTGCAGAGGTATTCTTTATTCAGAATCCTGCAACGAACTCGACACAAATGCATTGTATTTAGACAGTTGTGTAGGTCACAGAATAAAAATCATTTCGGAAATCCGGTAGGTGCATATGCGTGTTCGACTTATCTTCATGGAATACCTATCGAGAGTGATCTCAAATAGTTTTTATCAAGAGTGCCTAACTTGCAGTGTGCATGTAAACCGGACAAAATGTACTACACATTAACCCCACGTCCTTGACAAGGCAACTCAAGTTGTTCGAGAAAGCATGAGCTTTCAATTTAATTGCATTGAGAAAAAGATTATTAACCCCGTAGCTTCACTGTCTCTCAGACAAGCACAGGAAAATGCCTGTAAAATGTACTGCAGATCAATAGTCTTGAAGATGGCACTTGTTGGGTTAGCATTTGTTACTCCCTCACGCATGCTCGGTCCCCATAGACTGTGCGTGCATTTAATTTGTGTGTTTGCGCATGCGCAATAGTAACATAATGGTGGTCGGCCTGAAAAACTGATTCTAGCAGACCAGACAAGGCATATCGGTGAGGGATTTGTCCTGCCATTTCCCTTGAAGACCTTACGCGTGAATAAATTGCCAAGAATCCATCAAATGGAGATATATAGTAGCTTCTGATAAGGAAAATCTCCGGAAATCAAAGAAGTTGAAAATGTCGATTTTTCGACAAAGGATAAGTATGAAAAATGATCGTTTTTAGCTGACTTTGTGTCTAATTTTTACAATTTTGCAAGGTTTACTTTCAAATAAGTCTGATGCCACATGAAAGACTAGTAACTCTTATGATCAAAAAAGCTTATTACTTTTGTCGAATTCCCCTCAGGTCATCGGTGATACTGCCTGGAAGACCAGTGAGTCGTTTATATCCATCAGTTCACATCTTTAGGATCGAGAGCCATTTGTCTAAAATACGGTTCGTTTTTCATGCGGATTCAAATTTCCGCACTCGAATCCGACATAACCGACAGCGGCCATACAAAAATGAAATGTACGGATTTTGGGCATAACGTACACGTACTATATGTAATATGCACACACCACTGGATACGAGTGCGTTTCGGTACTTTTTTGCATTGCGTGAATACGTACAACAACGCCAAATTGCCCGACTAAAAGGCCCAAACAAAAACTTTCCGTTCGCATCCATACAGTTTCCTAATTGTGGCATGATACTTTCTCAGAGCGTTCATGATACTCCTCAATATTCACAAGTGGAGAAATGTTAGGGAAAACTCGGCAAAACTGAAAACATGCTCGCTAAATTAAATGATAGCTTCACTTTCAACTTCTGACTCTGTTACTTCGGAGGTACGTAAGAAAGACGGGCAAAATTTGGCAGAAAATGGATTTTTTGCTTGTGCAAGTTAGTAAAAGGGATTCTGAGTGTTTAAATACTACTCGGTATAAAAAATAACGGGCAAACAAACTTTTTCTGAGCTTGACGTTGATCAATTACTTTTGGGGCCCACCTGTCCAAGTCAAGAGCCATTTTACTGGCTTCTGGCTGTAGTAGGATTCAGTACGCATGCGCACAAACTAATTTAGGGGCATGGACATACGTGCATTGCCAGTAAAAGTATAAAATTTGAAATCCACAGTTATAGCTTGTCAGAATGGTTGCACCCATCATCATTCCATACGGGTTATTTCAGGAAACTGGAGTACGTGAACATGAGGGAGTTCCAGAGGAAGTGATCAGGCCTTCGATACACAGGATGCTCCCAAACAACATTCCGCTTGGGCGCACACTCGGCCTCGAAATCTCACTGGCATCGTAAACCTGCTCACTCGAATGAAACTTGGAATATGTTTCTTCAGGCTCTTCACCAAACCACTTCTAACACCTGTTTCAATGCTATTATCAAACGAATGGTAATGTCTTCTTATGTTGATTACAGTTCTATAATTCATCATAGAGTGTTGATTATCACTCTATTGTCCATTTTGTAAGGTGCCCTAACGTACACCATTGCCATATTCTGCATGTTTACTCGCTCAGAAGGGATAACACATTATGTAGGAAGATCCTATTTACTGCCATGAACTCAAAAGCCTTAGCATCGCCATTGTCAAATGTCACGTTGTGTCAGCTTTTTTGCACTCACAATTTCTTTTACAGGTGCTTAAAAACATTTGATTTGGTTAGTCTTTACAGTTTTGGTCTGTGACCCGTAAGTTCGTCTTTATTGTTCACTCCATATCCTAGACCAAAACCTGAGACCAAGCTGGCATACGTTATGAGATTGAATCCATCATTTTTTATATTAAAATTGCACATTTAAATAAATGGAGCTTTTGGGTTTAATAAGAATTTTTGTAATTTGCTTAGGCCTACTGATATGCATTCAATACTGACGAATTATATTATAGGAACCTCAAAACACTGGATGGTTGAGAAAGATTTCTTTCACTGGGCTCTGAATAAGTGCTTTACAGTCATATTTTCTTATCGATCAATGTCATTTTCCAGAACGAAATATTTATGTAATGGAATAATATGGCTTACACTTAATGGGTCGTAAGAGGTAGTAATAAGGAACAAGGGAAAGAAACACAGTTAAATCACCCACTACATAGAGCCTAAGAGAGTCTTTTTTCTCTAATCTTAAGGCATTTTACACTCAACATGGATGATTGTTCTGTTCAAGTACCGGAATGTATAGAATTCTGTTTTATAAAGCACGCTATAAATATGGAAACTAAGTTTGTTATTACACACATGTAATTTATCTGCCTTGTGTATGTACAAGACGTAAATTTCCCTGTCATTATCATGAAAGAAATTAAAACATAAATCTGAATGAATAAACACAGTTCGACATAAAATGTAAAGTCATTCATGACACATTGGACTTGCTCATTATGACCTNTGCGTTCATGATACTCCTCAATATTCACAAGTGGAGAAATGTCAGGGAAAACTCGGCAAAACTGAAAACATGCTCGCTAAATTAAATGATAGCTTCACTTTCAACTTCTGACTCTGTTACTTCGGAGGTACGTAAGAAAGACGGGCAAAATTTGGCAGAAAATGGATTTTTTGCTTGTGCAAGTTAGTAAAAGGGATTCTGAGTGTTTAAATACTAATCGGTATAAAAAATAACGGGCAAACAAACTTTTTCTGAGCTTGACGTTGATCAATTACTTTTGGGGCCCACCTGTCCAAGTCAAGAGCCATTTTACTTGCTTCTGGCTGTAGTAGGATTCAGTACGTATGCGCACAAACTAATTTAGGGGCATGGACATACGTGCATTGCCAGTAAAAGTATAACATTTGAAATCCACAGTTATAGCCTGTCAGAATGGTTGCGCCCATCATCATTCCATACGGGTTATTTCAGGAAACTGGCGTACGTGAACATGAGGGAGTTCCCGAGGAAGTGATCAGGCCTTCGATACACAGGATGCTCCCCAACAACATTCCGCTTGGGCGCGCACTCGGCCTCGAAATCTCACCGGCATCGTAAACCTGCTCACTCGAATGAAACTTGGAATATGTTTCTTCAGGCTCTTCACCAAACCACTTCTAACACCTGTTTCAATGCTATTATCAAACGAATGGTAATGTCTTCTTATGTTGATTACAGTTCTATAATTCATCATAGAGTGTTGATTATCACTCTATTGTCCATTTTATAAGGTACCCTAACGCACACCATTACTCGCTCAGAGGGGACTCTAACACATTATGTAGGAAGATCCCATTTACTGCCATGAACTCAAAAGCCTTAGCATTGCCATTGTCAAATGTCAGCTATTTTGCACTCACAATTTCTTTGGCAGGTGCTTCAAAACATTTGATTTGGTTAGTCTTAACGGATTGGATCTGTGACCCGTAAGTTCGTCTTTATTTTTCACTCCATATCCTAGACCAAACCTGAGACCAAGCTGGCATACGTTATGAGATTGAATCGATCGTTTTTTATGTTAAAATTGCACATTTAAATAAATGGAGCTTTTGGGTTTAATAAGAATTTTTGTAATTTTGTTAGGCCTACTGAAATGCATTCAATACTAACGAATTATATTACAGGAACCTCAAAACACTAGATGGTTGAGAAAGATTTCTTTCACTGGCCTCTAAATAAGTGCTTTACAGTCATATTTTCGGATCGATCAATGGCATTTTCCAGAACGAAATATTTATGTAATCGAATAAAATGGCTTACACTTAATGGGTCGTAAGAGGTAGTAATAAGGAACAAGGGAAAGAAACACAGTTAAATCACCCACTACATAGAGCCTAAGAGAGTCTTTTTTCTCTAATCTTAAGGCATTTTACACTCAACATGGATGATTGTTCTGTTCAAGTACCGGAATGTATAGAATTCTGTTTTATAAAGCACGCTATAAATATGGAAACTAAGTTTGTTATTACACGCATGTCATTATCTGCCTTGTGTATGTACAAGACGTAAATTTCCCTGTCATTATCATGAAAGAAATTAAAACATAAATCTGAATGAATAAACACAGTTCGACATAAAATTGTAAAGTCATTAATGACACATTGGACTTGCTCATTATGACTTNGTTAGTAACGCAAGACAAGAACTACTTAATCGAGCCCATTTAAGTTTTTAGATCAGGCCTATCAACTTACGTCATGCGCTATGAAGCTAATCAACGTATATACGAAGTCTTACAGACGTCGTTGAGCTCCCGACTTCTACTTCAGTCTTGTCTGCCGAAGGCTACGTATGAAACGCTTGGCTGTGGTTTGAAATCACACATCGCGCAACTTGACTTGTAATTAGACATGAACTTGCTTGTGTTTGGACCAAACTGACTTGTGATTTGACTTGTAAAATTGGAACCAAATGACTTGAGATCTTGCTTAAACTTGCCAAAATTGACTCGCTACCACCTCTGCTCGTGAGATTATTTTGTTGACAATATGAATCGTGTTACTGCTATAATTCGAAGTAAATGTCTCCCATTTTACTTTGGTGAGACACGCATAGGCAACACGTCCGCAAACTTCTAACAGAAAGATTAATTCAGAAAATAATACGGAAAAGTACAGAGCATGAAATTTGGTCCAATGATGTCATTTTTTCACATTTTTCCCTCCAATCTCATAATAATAATAATACACCAAAGTTGAAAATGTATAATGCGCTGTTTCCATAAAAATGATCAATGGCGCAGTATAAGTCGACATAAAAAAATTAATTAATTTAATTTAAGAAATGAAAGATAAGGATAAATAAATACAAATAAATAAATGAGTGTCACCGCGCCAGTACCCAAACCGCAGTATGGGGATACGTCTGCTCCGCTAACAGGGAGAACCTAACCAACCAACCGCCCTTGCCAAAACGAAATTTGTAAATCCCATTTTGGTGTAAACCACGGAACTCGATTTCTTTATAATTTGGTGAGTGAACTTCAACGGTGACGGTAGACAGAAAGACACCTAGTATTCTTGGAATGTCATGATAGACTTAATTTGACAAACATTATAAAACTAAGCAGCAACAGTTTGAAACAATCACCAATTTATATTTAAAAAAAACGAGTTCCGTGGTTTACATCGGAAAAGAGATTTACAAATTTATTTAAAGATCTGAGCGTGCTTTGGTAAGAGCCCTTGGTTTTAAATTGCATAACTTTCCGTGAAAAGAATTTCCGAGATGGTACATCGAAGTTGCCACCTTCTCTCCCTTCTGTTCCCATCCCTAATACCGATGAGCAGGCGGGACATCGACCGTCAGATTGAAGTAAGGATAGCGAGGAACAAACTGGTCTTGACTGAAGCAATCGTCAGAGTTCCCTTGTCGAGTGAGTCGGTCAATCACCCCGACCGCTTCCTCGTAACTCGGTGGGGGTGGTTCGTAGGGAGGGGCTTTCAACAAAAACAAAAACGCCAAAATAATAAACGGCTTGGAATGGTAATTTTTTAACAAATATATGTTAATCAAATACTAACTAATTTACATACTGCCATAGTTTTCAAAATATTTTTCTGATGGAACACAAAAGAATATACACGTCATCCTAATGCAGTGGAACAGATGTCTTCAAGGGAGTGTTTCCGATCAAAGTAAAATATCGAAAAGAACTGCGAACGCACTACAGAAATTTATCATAACCTCACCTGGAGGACCGTTGGTGGGTCCAGACAATTCTATTCCGGTGTCATCAGTGGGCAGGGCAGAAGCTACAGCGGCAGGCGGCCGTGTGACCGTCCGGTGAGGTACGGTGCCGATAACAACATTAAATTTGGCAAAGAACCCAGAGCTTCCAACGATCTGAAAGTAACACGTACAGGAAAAAAATGGCAAGTTAACAGGATACCGTTCCTGTTGGTCCCACGTGGCTATTGTTTCATCAGTTGTTCGCGCAAACATTAAGGCACGCCTCAATTGGTTCATTTTTGACACTTTAACCTTTTTGACCCTTAGACTCGACCTGTGTTGTGCGAGATATTGACAGACTTAAGTTATCAAAGTAACCAGCACGGGACTTTGACAACTTCAGTAGTACATGTACACAACGTGTACTCAGTTATAAAGGGCTATGTGGGAGCAACAGAGCTGTCCCTCACGCCAAAAAGGAGGTTTTTGACACAATGACAAAGAGGAGATTTGGGTGCCCAGTTCATTTCCCTTCTTCCCAATTAATTGAAAAAGCCCCCCAAATCACGCCTGACCCCCCCCGAATGGTAAAAAACATAAATAAAATTCCACATCCCCGAGAAATAAAATATTGTTTCCTCCAAAAAATATCAACAATTCGGTTTTAGATCTACCCTTGTATGGGCCATACCCTCATGCCATCACCGTCAAACGCTCGGGATAAGGAAGGTATACCAAGCACTCCTATATGCCTCGGAGGTGCAAAGAATCTAAACACCTGCACGTGAGCTCATAAATATTTTGTGATCCCACTTGTCTATGAAGACAAGGCTGCAGACATATTTCTGTACATCAAACACGTAGGACTAGTGCTGTCGACTAGGGGAATTTCCTCCACAAAAACCTCCAACTTGTGGCTCCACATGATTTTTCATACTGGCGGACGGCTACATTCGGACCTGTGCCCGAACTGCATTATTAGCGATAGTTTGGGGAAATGGAGGTTAATGGATTTCACGTGACTGGCACTATGCGGAATTGTGAAGAAAAATGTCCCCGGGCCCGTAAACTTGAAGTTTCAGCAAAACAAGGATTGCTGCATTTTTCTGGGGCGTACCAAGAGGCACGATTTGCGGAATTTTTTAATTCATTAAAGACCCAGGACGTTCACTCGAATCAAGGAATTGCCACCTTTTGAATCGTTTCTTCAGCTTAACGTCCATCCTTCCACAATTGTCCATTGTACAAGAGAATAAAAAGTTTTTACTAATGCTTTGAGCTGTGTCATGCATTCCAGTATATGTCCATCGTAGGCTAGATATGACATCTGCACGTAAGTGAAAGCTTTACTCCTGGCCCAAGCCTTAATTAGCGGGGGACAGGTTAACGTAGCAGGTCAGCGTAGCGGTTCTTGCCTTGCTTTGCACCAATTAGGCCCAGGTTCGAGTCCCGGTTTAGCCTAGGCCTTACATGCATTTGGTTTCCAGTCCATACTCGCTCTCGCAGGTTTTCTCCGGGTACTCCGGTTTCCTCCTGCCTCTAAAACTGGACCTTCTTCCTAACTCCGTGAAGTGATGCTGATTAATAGAGGTTATACATAAACGTATAAGTATCTAGGTTATGCACGGCAGCCATCTGAGTGCTTTTGTTATGGGGATATGTGCAAAGAAAGCACTCGTGTGTATCCCTGTAGAACAAAAACACTGACCGGGAAGATGGCTGCCATGCATAACCTCTATTGGCGCAAATTGCCGTAGTTGCTGCAAGCGCCATTAAAGCAAAACAACAAGAAGAAGCCTTGATTATGAAACTCTTCGATTTGGTTCAAGCCACACATGACATGCATGCAAGTCAGACATGCAGTCAGCACCATCAGCGGATCGTGGAGCACACACTGCCTTCGTTATCTCATCCAAATGAATTTATTCTGTCTGTCATTTTGTTGCGCAAATATGTTAGACTCAAGTTATCAAATACCTATCAATATGATTGTACGGAGTTGAGGTCTTTTAACACGACCGACAAGCTAGTTTTTCACCGGCGAATTTGGGAACCACAGTTCACTGTCTCTTTCAGTAAAATTCTGCTAGGACCTTGGAATTACATGCTCTCTGATCGAAACCCTCGGGCACCAAAGGAGATTATTTCCTTTGGAAAATTGTATCCATCTGGAATATCTGGGAAGTATTAATAGGTAAGTCCCTAAATTTTCACTGTTTCTGTAAACCTATGCATAGGCCTAAATTGTCATTCGTTATAGGTATTGAAAATAGTTTACTTTGATAACAGAGGAAGAGTTTAATTGAAAATTTCAGAGAGAACATCAACCCGTAGAACGTCTAAAACGGTGTACTTCACTCTTCAGAGATTTTCTCATTTTGCTTGACATTGTAATAATTCCATGCTACAACTGAGATTACTGTGTCCATCATTCAGAGGCTGGACTTATTAAAGAGTTTGGCTTCCTTTTCCGCTACCAGTGTCCGGTTCGTAAGTGACTTCGTCACAAAGGCGGACGCGCCACGATTCGCAGGCTTCCATTGGACGATCGCAGAAGTGGCGCGTTAACTTCCGGTTCCATGGTTCCACATACAGCGATCTATGCATGTAATGTGCAGTGGGCGTGGTTTAAACTGAAGTGACGTCACACTTACGAACCGGGTTAATCCCGTGTCATCACTCACCATTGTCTTATGACAGATAGCACTTAAACTCTCACCTCAGTCGTTTGCATGAAGTTGTTGCTACGAAAACGTAATACCATATGTGACAAAAGAGCTCTAATCAAAATGTTTGTATTATCACCATGGAGGTAGCAAGCCTCCTTGTTATCATGAAGACTAAATGTTACCATATTCACCGAGCTCACCTTGACAACGTATTCAATACTGATGGTACTGCAGCCGGGAAGGCCTGAAGATGGCACCAGGGGTACTAACAGCGGACCCATGTTGAAGTCTGTTACCTGACCCTTTGGGCAGGCCACCCTCGACTGCAGTTCCCTCAAAGCACAGGTCTTTGTTTTCCTATTGCCTCTTGATCGGAATGTAATATTCTAGAATGAAAATCGATAAAATGATACATACAACGTTGGATCACACAGGTTTATGGGCCCAAATGGTAAACTTTCACAACGTCCGAACCAGAAAGCTATCTAATAGTGAAGTAAAAATATACTAAAACAAAATGATGACATCACCCTTTGCTTCCCTGGTTTTACTTCAGGGGCCGGATGCATGTATCCTTTAATTTGATATCAAAAGTGAAGGTAATCAGCTTATTGAAAAATAGCTGCAAAAACCGATTCCCTTCTGTAGTTATACCATGTCAAGAGTGAGACAAGCACTTCAAAATTCGTTTACCTGAAACAAACCTGCTTTAAACATCCTTGTCTCGTCGCCATCCTGGTTGTCCACGTGACCAATGACGTAGATGCCTTCGCCGGGAACGAAACCCTTCTTTGGCAGACCAGCTGTGATGATCGACTCGGGGGAGCATCCACAACCACAACATCCAATCATCTCTTTGCGATGTTGTACCTCCGACTGTTCATACCAAAAAATAATTATATTCCTTCATAATAAAGACAGCACGTCCAATCATACAGGTAATAGAGCACGTGTATTTAACAGATGCACTCGACCTGACTCGACTCGACTCGAGTCACTGCGAGCTATACAACTACACTCGAGTCCCTCATCAGAAGACCCGACTTGAATGACTAAAATTTAACTTCTTCACGAAAACAATAATTGCAGTGATGCGCCGGTCTATAATGTTCATGTCATGTATTACTGTCTTCAATTGTAAGATGTGGTGTGACTGTCACAACATGCAGAAACCCAGATGTAAATTTTAAGATGCCAAGAATGAATTTCTTCAGTAAAAGATTTGGGGTAGTACCTTCACCATGAAAAACTTCAAAGCTGATTTGCTCTCTTTGTTTCGTGTTCAAGTATTTGTGACTCGAATAGAGTGGAGCTAAATACTTGTCTTTTTACCTAATGGTTTGAATCGACTGGAGACACTAGTAACAATGACTAGACTCGAGTTGAGTCAGAAAAAAGTGCCTCGTAACAACTTTAAGAAAGGGCGAATCACTTACACAATAAATACAACGATATGTTCAGCTCGCCGTGGCGCAACTGGACCACACCTGCGCACGGGTATGTACGGATATCAAACTTTTGTCAAATACTTTCCGGCTCACTGGACATTGGTCTAAAAGTTGAGGTTTTATTTCACAGATTGTTCATCAGTTCACTAACCTGGGTTGTCGGGTGTTGGTTGAGGTCCAGCGTCGGTCCAGTCATGCTGAAAAGCTTCTCGCATTTGTAGTCCTTGTTGGAGAATGTCCGGATTAATGACACGGTTGCCTTAGCGCGGTAGCGGATGTAGCCGTACTTTCCCTCGAAGGGAGACGGCAAAGGCGTCATCGGAAGTCGAAACTGGAAAGGAAAGCTGCTCCTGCCTGAAGGAATGTGTAAACCGTTCTCTTCACGCTGGTATCTCCCTGATTCAAATAAAACGAATTACGAACAGATTACCTAAACACAATAGAGGTCACAAAAGAGCCAAAAAGAATAGAAAAACTAGTTTATGTTTACATGTTTATACCTTGGAAATTGGTTGGGGTAACCACTCACTGAAAATGCTAGAATCCTTCAAAGTCATAGCAAATTGAAGGGATAGTTCCCTTCTACGTATTTTAAGAAAAACAAGATTATAGATTTATTCATGTATTCAAAACATGTAGGCCATGCAGATACAGCCATTAAAAAGGGCAATTTCGACACTGGTATAAAAAAATGACTCGGTGGTGTAAACCGTTTGTGACATCGAAATAATAGGTTATGTAAAATATACCACTAAAGGACCGTGTTAGCTGCAGCTGTGAACAGTCCTTTTTCCGATTTGCTTCACCTGTTTGGCATCAGCTTTAAATCCAGTATTGTCTTGTCCAGCTGCAACCCTCAAGACAACCCATCATAAAGGGTTGCCCTCATGCACCAATGACTTGGACCAACGAACCAGTTCGGTATTCCAACATGGCATGCCCAAAACGAAGTTCGTCTGAGGTCATTCGGGCGCGCGTGGAAGAAATCACGGTCATATCTGCGCAGCCCTAAGCCGACTCACGTGCGTGATTTGTGATTTTTTTTGAAATATCAAAAGGGTTAATTAATTACAGCTTGTTTCGTTTTGTAACCCGTCCCAGCCACTTTAGCGTCAATACCGTGTATTGTAAGCGACTTAGGTGGTGCCTTAGCATCGTAGGCAATTACGATAGACAAGCCCAATCGTTCGCGTTCAGTAAAAACGTTCACGCGATGAGCGTGTAGTAGGCGTTTGTATTAACACCGAAGGAAATACATATAATTATGACCATTATAGCCCTCTACTTTAACCTTTCCATTTTCTTCCATAAAAATACTGGCGACCAAAACTTCTTTCATTCGGCATTCATTCAAAAGCAGCAAATTGTTTTAGGGGGTCTAATTATGTGGAAATTCTACTCTTAAATGAGCTCCTTAATGTCATCATTATTTTCATAGGGATGCGATTTAGTCCCAGTGGATGCGTCCAAGGCGGTGCGCTAGCTTCGTTAACCCAAAAGCTGCACAAGATTTAAGGAATAGGTTGCTTTGATAAAAATCAAATCATGGTAAACGTACCCCTTCCAAATACCACTTCATTATCGTCGAAATAAATCTCCTTCAAAGTGTGAGTATGAGTCTCATTGTTACTTCTTGTTGTGAATTTCGTCTTAGCCTTGCCTTGAAACCGGATCCAAATACCTATGGAGGTGAGATCAAGGTGAAAATCCGTATGGAACATTACTGCTCAACTCTATTACCCAGCAAATTTTCAATGGTGTCAAAATGCTCACTACTACCTGGGCAGCCATGCTCATACTGAGGTAGAACTAAACAACCAAAAAATATCCCTTCCTCAAGCTTGAAGGCCTTCCTCAAAGCCTGACTTCCGTCCGGATAAATACGGAACCGAGATGGGATAGACAACCGACAGTTAAACGTGATTGTTCTACCCGACGAAAAAGAGACGTCAGGGATCGCTAGGGCAGGGAACACGGCCCCATAACTCTAGCTGTGTGAAATGGGTGTTAAATTTGAAGATTATTTCGTTTTGATATCTCTATGATTTGCAAAATTAGTCAACTATTTGATGAAGAAAGAGACAAGAGATCGAATGAAAAATAGGAGTATATGTCATTACCTTAGCAACAGCTTTTGGCAGTGTTTTGGTCATTACCTTAGCAACAGCTTTTGGCAGTGTTTTTTGGTCATTACCTTAGCAACAGCTTTTGGCAGTGTTTTTTGGTCATTACCTTAGCAACAGCTTTTGGCAGTGTTTTTTGGTCATTACCTTAGCAACAGCTTTTGGCAGTGTTTTTTGGTCAATACCTTAGCAACAGCTTTTGGCAGTGTTTTTTGGCCACTCAGCTTTTCTTGTCTGCTTTCTTTTCTTTTTTTTCTTTTTTTTATAAACTGGTCTACTGTACGTGGTAGTGATGTCGTCCTCAACTCACACGTACACAATGAACAGACACATTGCAGCTCATGCATGTCAGGTCATGCAGTGAATTATGGCTGTAATGGTGTGTACACTACAATACTCATCTTCAATGTGTGTACGTGTACATGAGTAATATGATCAGGTCAAGCCTTTTACACACTGAGGATAAATTACCTTTGACGTCTTTCAAGCCGTAACTTTGTCGTTGTCCACCATCAACACAACCTCCCCCTTGATGATATCACCCCAAGAAAACACATTGACATTCCCATTGTAAGTTAACACAAACTGTCTCAACTTTCCCATTGTCTCTCCTGCAAAACAGAGGAAGCCGACTGAAATCAACAGGGTTGTTTCCAGATAAAAGTTAACCTGCTCCCCAACGGACGCATGTACGCAATCAAATTCAAATGGGAGATTAAAATGCACCTATTGACAGTTACCTTGTTTCAAACTTACAACTCCACACATAACATGGAAACTCCCTGAAACTGCCAGTGCGCCCAAATACATTGGGTTATCTACGATCTTTTGAAATCCCTGCAGGTGGCCGCATTTTGCCTTTGTGGAAAAAAACTGCAAGGGGGAAAGGAAGCCACTAGTTTTGCCTGTGAGTTCTCTTGTGTTCAATATCTATTTTTGTACACACGGCTACCACGGCACCGTGGAATATTGTTCTCAAGTTATCCACACAAGTGCCCCTGAATATTTGAAATGTGTCCCCTTGTGGCCACCACACTACGCGAAGACTTTGACCAGCCCTATGACCTCATAGGTATGCAAATTGCCACTCAACGTTCAGCAAACTCGATACATCCGCGGATTTGTTTGGCCCAGTGTCAAATGAATTAAAGTGTATGTCTTGATACACGTCAGTTATGTGGAGTGTTTTTGAAAACCAATCAATTTGGAAGTTATTGTGTTTCCTATAAAAGAAACGAATACCAGTTTCCACGATGAAATGGGGAAAATATACAATCAAAAGCAAACATACAGAAGAGATCCTGTGTTATTTTTCATTCGATTGAATGAATGATTTTCTTTTAAGTGAAATTGAATGACTGCATAGAGTCCAGCTGGCTTTTTCTTCTTAACCTATTGTCTTTTGTCCTTCACAGATGTTTAAAAAAGCGATCTTCGGTATTAAATTAAATAAACAGTCTTCCAATCTTTTAAATTGTTTTACCCTCTAAAACATACAAATCGGAAAGCACATTTTTGTGGATGTCTTGTGCGTTTTTTTTTTTGCATATTGAAACAAGTCAAAAAGATGAATGGGTCTGTGATGGTGACATGTAAACTGTTCAAACCGTAATCAGACTGACCAATCTCCAGCCAGTGTTTGTCAGACCACACACAAGCGGCGGTTTCCTGCAGACTGCAGAGCCGCAAATTCTGGTGAAAATTTACCGTCATTGGAAATCGGTAAATCTGTTTTTCTCTTTAAAGGGCAAAACATGGTAATAAGCATTTGTGTCGTTTATTATTTTCTTCAGTACATGGGATTCAACCGCATTGACGGCAAGCGATACAAGGCATTTTTAACTGGCGGAAAAGAGTTGTCCATAGAGACATGAGCTTTGGCGCCACTATATTTTCACTGAGAATGGATTGGGGTTGGCTATGTTTGCAATGAATACTCAAAGACATTCAGACAAAACATACTTTTTTGTGTTGTGCAATTGTATTTAGACATGTTTGAAATTGCCATTGGAATCTCTTACAATTTCTGTTTGACAGCAGCCACGCTTACAGAAATTAAAAATTCCCTAACAATTAAAATATTCGTGAGTATTTGAATATTGTCAGCCGTTTGAAAAGGGCGACAGATTTCGCGTGTTGTGATTGGCCAACCTATTGCAAACTCTTGGAGGCGCACTATTGCCTAAATTATATATATAAATATATTATGCTCTTAAATTTCAATTGTAGGTTTTACATTTCGGCACTATAGTTTGTATGTTAATGCCCTGCCCTGTTTAATCTGGATTTAACACATTTGGTCCATGTGCAGTCTGACATTAGGAAATCATACGGCGAGGAATGTGGCAATTTGTAGATCTTGTTTCAAAATGAAGTACTTTCAAAATGGTTTGAAATTTAACATGTCTTTACAAATAGCAATCGAACAGACTCTGTAATTTGAACACAGCTGCATGTAAAAAAAACCGTTCTACAACTGAAAAATATTTCTTCCCATATTTTGGAAGTTAGTCAGAGTATTTCCTCCAATCTATGTGTATTTCTAGACTTCACATACAACGAAAAATGCATATTAGTATATATGTAAGTATATACATTATTCTGTTTAACAATGCACATGTAGGGAAAGTAATTTTATCACTCATTTATCTAGGCCTATACCTTTTTTTGTGTAAGACACATATTAACCAAATCGTCATCGAATGAATTAAAAGATCACCTCATGAAGAAAATTTGAGCAAGTACATTTAACTTACAGTGGCAAGATAATTATTGACCGATACTAATTTTCAGAAAGTCGCACGTGGTGTACAAGGCACTTGCCAACCTCATACATAAATGTTAAAAACAATCACGCGAAAACAGTTTTCCAAGCTCATTAATGACACAATTACTGTTGAAAAATCTCAAAATAATTGTAAAAGAATACATCTCATTTGAACCATTTTCCATTGGCTGTCCCATGAGGTCAATTTGGTACAGGTTTGTCCACCAACCCGTCATTTACTATTACGCTACATTCAAAACCAAAATCACTGATTCATCATTTGTCACATAGGAGAGCGATACCAACAAAAAAGTCAAATGTAATAACTACCAAATGAAAAGTACATGAACACCGAGAAATGGGGAGAATTCAGAGTCATGGTTATGTACAGTTTACTTCCTGCCTTTGATCTACTCCCACAATGTGTATTCACAGGCACACAACCTACAGTAGCAGAATGAAATACATTATGCAACTTTACTGAGAATGTCTTGACTTTAATACGGAACTTTTAAAAGTCTACAGCAACAGTTGTCATCACTTAGCTCATTACGCAACATTGGGAATTTTGATTTTTACATCAAAATAAGATGAAAAAGTTAAGATTTCAGTTTGGAGTAGAGCAACGTACGATCCTTTCCTTCTTTTGAAAATAGGCCCCTTGACTTACATTGCATAATTCTCCTACAAACAAGACGAATTTCCCAAATCCCGTATATCAAAGTTGCTCCTTTGCGTCCCTCTTTCCCTACCCCTTATTGTTGAGCAGGCGGGACATCGACCGTCAGATTGAAGTAAGGATAGCGAGGAACAAACTGGTCTTGATTGAAGTAATCCTCAGAGTTCCCTTCTCGAGTGAGTCGGTCAATCACCCCGACCGCTTCCTCGTAACTCGGTGGAGGAGCTGTCAACAAAAGGGGAAACGCTGACATCATCAATGGCTTTCGAATTTCTATCCAAAAAAAAAAAAAAATTGAGGCTCTACTATAGAGCTTACTTCTCGAACATAAGTTTTGAGTCCCTGGGGGACAAAATCCTCAGAACATAATTGATGAAATGCTAATGCCACATGTAGTTTTCAGAAAACTTTTCTTGTGGAACACGAAAGAATAATTATACACGTTATCCTCGAGCAGGAAAATATGCGTCTTCAAAGGAGTTTTACCGATCGAAAAGACCGTGTTCCACAACTTCATTGCAACCTCACCTGAAGGATTGACGGTGAGTCCGGACAGTTCTATTCCGGCCACATCAGCGGGCGGGGCAGACGCGACAGCGGAAGGCGGTCGTGTGACCGTCCGGTGAGGTACGGTACCGATAACGACATTAAACTTTGCTTGGAACTCAGAGCTCTCAATCTGTAAGTAAACTCAGAAAAGATGAAGTTAACAGACCACCGTTCCTCTTGGCCCCGTAAGGCAAGGGTATTTCTTGTTTACTGTTTGCGAAACTAAACGACTCAGTCATTCCATTTCAATGTCAGCACTAAGGCGGCTTTTGACACTTTTACCTTTGACTTCCACACACAACCAGCAGTATATTTATTGTACGAGACTCCCTTAAAAAAAGAAATTTTGTTCTAGATGCCATATCCTCCTGCATTCACCGTTAAACCGTCGCAATGGAATACATAGACGGCATATCCACACCGATCCTACCTCAGAGGTGCAAACCAAACCATTGAACATTTCAATTCCTGCGCAAGAGCTCATTAATATTCGGTGGTCCCACGGATTGTAAGGATACCTGTAATAATATTTCCATAACAAGTGTTGGGCTGATCCATGGGGGAGGTGTCCCTTGCTTATTACCATGGTTGTCGGTCTACGTTTAAAGTTTTCAACTCCCCCCAGCATAAAACCTGAAGGGTTTTATTTTGTGTGTTTGGGGATAAAACTAATAGATTAAGTTCAAGTAGAGTAATCCCCGCGCAAAAATTTGACTCCCCCCGCAATCAAATCCTGGATCCGCCCCTGTGTAAATCGAACACTGGCGTGTGCTGCCAATCTGGGGACTAACTCCACAAAAAAGAGAGGCGTATGTCTGCATTCAGATCGGGTCCCCTAGAATATGGCAACAATTTTCATAGTTGCCAACTGGTTGTAAATACAATCATTAATATCCTTTATGGTGTTACCCTGAAGTAAAACGGTTTGGCGCACTGCACCTGAGGGTACCAGGAGGCGCTATTTTTGTCCAATTTTGTGTTATTTTCTATAACCTGTCAGCTTTTAATGCAGTGGAACTCTGGCCGCTGGTGGATATTGAAAGTAATGGAGACTTATCTTGCTTTAATTCACAGCAACCATCACCGTGTGTTTATGTTCATTCAGGTATTTTGGAATGTTGTTGGTCCATAATGTCCACACAGGCCTAAGGCACCTGCATGACTGAAGCTTCATTCACCGCATAGACGCTTTTCAGAACCAACTCTGATCAAAATGTGCACATTATCACATTGGAGGTTGCAAACCTCCTTGATAAAATGAAGGTGTCATCACAACCAAATGCACCAAACTCACCTTGACAAAGTATGCGATTTCAATGATATTGCAGCCGGGAAGGCCTGAAGATGGTACCGGGGGTACTGTAAGGGGACCCATGTTGAAGTCTGTGACCTGACCCTTTGGGCAGGCCACCCTCGACTGCAGTTCCTTCAACGAGTACTTCTTTGTTTTCGTGTTGCCTCTTGATCGGAATGTAATGTACTGAAATGAAAACAATGAAACCGATACACAACGATTAATCGCTCGAGTTTTAGGGGCCAAATGGTAAACTTTCACATCATGCTCCAAACCAGAAATGTTTCTTGATATCGATGGACTTCAACAACACTCGCAAAATTACCTACGCGCTTTCCTGTGGACCTATTGGGGCTCAATAATGGAAGTGTTCTACCTCACTGGCATTTTAAATTTGATGCAAAAGTAAACAAAGTGTGACAACATTATGATGTGGGTCTACAGGAAACCTCTTGGAAAAGCCTTTGAGGTAGTACCAAATCAAACGCAGAACGAATCTGCTCATAGCTGCAAATTTGAGTCCTGTCAGCAGTTTGACCTTCAGAAAGTTTGTTTACCTGAAACAAGATTGCTTGAAACATCCTGTTTTCGTCCCCGTCCCGGTTGTCCACGTGACCAATGACGTAGATGCCTTCGCCGGGAACAAAACCTTTCTTTGGCAGACCAGCTGTGATGATCGTCTCGGGGGAGCATCCACAACCACAACATCCAAACATCTCTTTGCGATGTTGTACCTCCGACTGTTCATGCCAAAAAATATTTATATTTCTTCGTAACAAAGAAAGCACGTCCATTCATACCGGTAATAAAGCATGTGTATTTAACAGATGCACTCGACTTGACTCGACTCCAATCACTGAGAAGAAGACCCGATTTGAGTGACTAAGATTAAACTTCTTCACGAATAATTGCAGTGAAGCGCCGGTGTCTTCGCGGTGTTGTACCTCCGACTGTTCATATCAAAGAATCTTATATTAATTGAGAGCATATTCTTTCATACCATAACACATACATGACATCAGCGGATCTTCTCATGGAGCTGTAAAATGGCACAGGAAGCAATGCAGTTTACAGGGTCCAATCACAATGATGCCCAAATACCACGTGATCACACGGTTTCCAGGTAAAGACTTACACAAATAACAAAGTAATTTACGAAGCAGAATTAGGCCTAGAGTAAAAAAAGGTCGGCCATGTTTTCCGAAAAATGTCAGGCTTTTTTAAAATCGAATTTTTTTTAAGGTAATGTTTTAAAAAGAGACCGTACTTCGAATGAAATTTTTTGAACCAACATGTTTTTAAGATTCGAATGAAATTTTGTAGACCTGACATGTTTTTAAGATGTGAATAAATTTTTTGACCTAACATATTTTGAAGATTCGAATGAAACTTCTCAGAGCTAACATGTTTTCAAAATCTGAATGAAATTTGACAGACCTAACGTTTGCCAGATTCGAATGTATTTTCTCCGACAATAAACAGCCGAAGGTTTCGAGTTCCGCAGCCGCATTTCATCCGAATTCAGAAAGCATCCGGCTTTCGAAAGCATCCGACTTTAAAAAGCATGCGAATATTGAAAAAGCATCTTAATACTGAAAAAAACATCCGAATCGAGAAAGCATCCGATCTTTTTGACGGTGTTCGGCCCTATCGTGATGCGGATTGTGAAGAATTATTTTCAGACTTCCAGCGACCGTGACTAAAATCACTCAAAACAGAGAAAACAACCTCAAAAAGTCGCAAATATGCCATTCCGAATACATATTACAGATGTACATCAATATCATGAACATTGACCTCTATAGTGTAATTCAACAACCAGAATTAGAAGCCATTACTACAGGGGTATGGCACAAGGCTAGTGGACAGGTGGTACCCGCGCGTTACATGCCTCGTCGACCAAAAGGGTGTTGCCGTTTGCCAAAAGCACGCACGTGTCGAACAGTAGAATGTGCGTGCGATCGAGTGCGGTGCCGCCGCAGTTACGATGTTTAATACGGGCGATTCACAATAGTGAGCCACCGCGAGTTTGCAACGCGTTGGCCAACCGTAACGCCTGAAATTTGTCGACCCTTTCCAAACCCGCATTTTGTCGACAGATTTCGCGCACTGTGATTGGCCAACGCGTTGCAAACTCTTGGGGGCGCATTTTTGCGAAACGGCAAGTTGGATTAAAGGCGCCTCTCCATAAATACGGGTTTTGGGTGCGTTGCGTACACGATGTGTTCATGCATTTCACTTTTGCGGACACAAAACTCCACTCCATTAACAATACATAACACACGTGTACGATGCGTTCGGCCGTCAAAATAGCATCGGAAGTGGTTTGGTTGGACACGCAACGCTTGGCGCAACGGTGTTGACGTGCATGGGAAGGCGCCTTATAGTCTGTACAGAGCATATAACAACATAAAAGTTCTTTTGACCTTTTTTGGAGATGGTATTTAGTTTTACATCAAAATACCTAGTAGAAACTTGAAGTCACAGATGCCCACTTCCTAGTAATATGTTATTTATTTATACACGGATATGGATGGCCCAACAATCATTCTTTTGGGGCAATGAGACAAAGAGGGCTTGGAACCAAGTTTCACTTAAAATGCCAGGATAAATCCTAATCAGTTCTCCCTCTCTCCTATGAAATGGTCGTAATGAATAGGCCAGATATGCACAGTGCATACAAAGATCCTTTCAGGTTGCTGGGGTAGAACACATGTAAATTGGATCTTATCTGGGCACGGTATGCACAAATTATAGAACTTTGAACTTTGTCAGAAACTTTTGGGCTCGCTGGGCATCGGTCCAAAACTTGAGCTTAAGTTTCATCAATTTCCCCTCTGTTCACAAACCTGGGTTGCCGGGTTAAGGTTAAGATCCAGCGTCGGTCCAGTCATGCTGAACAGCTTCTCGCATTTGTAGTCCTTGTTGGAGAATGTCCGGATTAATGACACAGTTGCCTTAGCGCGGTAGCGGATGTAGCCGTACTTCCCCTCGAAGGGAGACGGCAAAGGCGTCATCGGAAGTCGAAACTGGAAAGGAAAGCTGCTCCTGCCTGAAGGAATGTGTAAACCCTTCTCTTCACGCTGGTATTTCCCTGATTCAAATAAAACAAATTAAGGGGAGATTACAAGAGCAAGATACAGAACACGAATGAATGACAATAATTTCAGCCTGAAATGACTGAAAACTTCCCCTCTAGAAATTGCTATATTAAGGAGAAAGTTGACGAAAAACCGAACTTATTTACATTTGATGATGAGACCATTTTTAAACTCGTGAATGAATTTATTGACGCGTTCCCAACTAACCCATGTTGTACTGTACACACGACCTTTGGAATGGCTGAGACGTAAGCAGACGCGAACAAATACCAATATGTAAACGCATTTGTAAACAAATGCTCAAGCCATGATATTTCTTTATAAGCTGCCGCTGTAAACAGAAGATGATGGAAAGGCCATGTTGTGTAGTGTTTCTTCACAACTTACTTTACCTTTCTGGCATCAGCCAGCTTTAAATCTCATTGCATCCCTCAAGGCAATCCGTCGGGACGATTGCCTTCACCAGTTACTTGGACTAAATGCAGTTTACTTCGATTCGTCCCAGGGATTTGTCTGATCTCTCTCTTTTCTTTTGTACATATTTTCAGCCTGGAAATTATTATTTTTATTCAATTTCTTTATCCACGACCTGATAAGTCAACACCGTCCATGGAATGAAACTGCATACGTGCACATGTTGTGTAAGGATTTGCCTGAATCGCCCAACGAATGCTTAATTGACTAATTTTGTTCAGGATATGTTTAGTTGTGACAAATCCCAACCATATTTAGCTTCCTGATCGTACCGCTAATGCCGGACGTAGGCGCTCGACACGCCCTGCATGCGACACGCGTATGTTCGGTCCCCGAAGACTGTGCGTTCATTTAGTTTGTGTATTCGCGCATACACAATAGTAACATATGGTCGTCGGCCTGAAAACTGATATTCTAGCTGACGACGCATATCGGTGGGATTTGTTCTGCCATTTCCCTTGAAGACCTCGTGTGTGAATAAATTAACAAGAATCTATCAAATGGGGATATATAATAGCTTCTCATAACAAAGATCTCCGGAAACTAATCAAAGAAGTGGAAAATGTCAATATTTGGACAAAGCGTATAATTATGAAAAATGGTCGTTTTTAGCTAACCTTGTGTCAAATTTTCACAATTTTGCCGGGTTTACCTTCAAATAACTTTGACGCCACATGAAAGACTAGTAACTCTTATGATCTAAAACGTGTATTATTTCTAGGCAGAAAACCTTTTTGGAAATTCACTTCGTTTTTCATTGGGACCCATTTTCGTCATTTTCCGTGTTTTTCACCTTACTTAAGAGCCCAATTTTCACACTTCTGTCGAATTCCCGGCCTTCAGGTCATTGGTGATACTGAAAGGAAGACTGATGAATCGTTTGTATCCATCATTTCATTTCTTCAAGATCGAGAGCTATTTGTTTGAAATGCATTTCGTTTTTCGTGCAGATTCAAATTTCCGCACTGAGTCCGACAGCGGTCAAAGTTGAGATGTCCTTGGATAGGAGTGCGTTTCGGTACGAGTTGACTCTTACTACGATGCACTCACACGTTCAGTAACGTCAAATTGCCCGACTAAAAGGCCCAAACAAAAACTTTCCGTTGGCATCCATACGGTTTCCCTCTTGCATGATAATTTCTCATTAGAGCATTCATGATATTCCTCACTATTCACAAGTAGAGAAATGTCAGGGAAAACTCGGCAAAACTGAAAAAAAAATTCCCTCTAAAATGTTGGCATAACTTCCAACTTCTGACTCCGTTACTTCGGAGGTACGTAAGGAAAACGGGCCAAAATTCGGCAGAAAATGGATTTTTTGCTTGTTCAAGTTAGCAAAGGGATTCTGAGTGTTTAAATACTAAGCGGTATAAAAATGAAGGGAAAACAACTTTTTTCTGAGCTTGATGTCGATCGATTACTTTTGGGGTCCACCTGTCCGAGTCAAGAGCCATTATACTGGCTTCTGGCTGTAGTGGGATTCAGTACGCATGCGCACAAATTAAGTGAGGGGCATGAATATACATGGATGCGACTCGGCTGCCGCAAGATTGTAGACAGTTTTGGTACGCAAGCTCAATCGTTCCGCGAAGATCTTCAAGGGATGACCACTTATGCGTTTATCATTACGACCTGAAGAAACACATATGTAACTGTGACTACAGTGCTCCAATTAAAAGTTCCTTTCTCTTTCATAAAAGTACCCGATATTCGTTCCTTCGAAAACTACGCAAGAATCGCGCGGTTCTAAAAAAGAACTGATGCACAAGATTTAAGAAATTGATTGCTTTGACAGAAATTAAACCATAAACGTACCTCTTCCAAACACCACTGCATTATCGTTGAAATAAATCTCCTTCAAAGTGTGAGTATGAGTCCGCTTGTTACCTGTTGTTGTCCATTTCGTCTTAGCCTTGCCTTGGAAATGGACCCATATACCTATAGAGGTGGGACCAGGGTGAAAATCCGTATTGAACATTAATGCTCAACTCTTTTTCCTCAAGGCAACTGATCAATTGGTGTCACAATACTCACTACCGGGGCAGCCATGCTATACTAAGTGTGCCAATGGTAGACATAAAAACAAAAAGATCCCTTCTTCGGGCTTGAAGGACGTCCCAGAAGCCAGACTTGCACCCGGGAAAATGCAAAACATAGATTGGAAAGACAGCCGACAGTACCAGATGAAAACAAGAGATATAAGGGATCGTTATTGCAGGGAGCCCGGACAAAAAATGCAGTTTTGTGAAATTGATTGAAGAAGTTACTCCATGACGGACCGAAGTGATATACATAAAACTTTGCTAAGTTTGTTTGGTTGCTAAGTTGGCTGTTAAGGTTAGAGTTGATCTGGGATGTCGCTAAGTCACTAGTTGGCCACTAAATAATTTTTGGGTTTCATATTTAGCAGCGAACATGGCGAAATGTAGGCCTATACTTATCCTTGCACAGCTGAACTTTGCATAATGCAAATCCTAGTTGCCTGCATGCTGTTGCCTGAAAGTCATCTGACCAATCCAAAACGTCACCATAGCCTTTTGACATGCAAATATACTTTTTCTGGTTTGGGGGTTTGAAGAACTGCCTAATGCCCTAGCAGTGTGCTTAGCATCATTATTTAGCTGCAAACTAGTTGGTCATTTAACATTCTTAGCAAGCTTTTCTGAATACTAAATTAGTTGGTAAACCACGGATCAGAAAACTACGGATTTAGCAGGCTGTTAAGGCCTTGTTGGCTGCTAAGTTAGCAGGCTTTTATGAATATCGGCCCTAGTCTGGCAAAATCAGTCAATCTGTAATATTTAACGTTCAACAAAGACAAGAGACCAGATGAAAATGGGAGTAGTAGGTCATTGTCTCATCATCAACCGCTTCCCTTTGTATTTTTTGGCTGCATCTATATCCTTTTTAAACAGCCCTATCCCGTATAGGCAGAATACGCTGAAGTAGTCCTCTATTCCCTGCACGTGCACACTCCACAAACACGCACAGGCGGTACATGGGGGGGCATACTCGAAACCCCATTTCATAGGACTCACGAACAGTGTTCTTGGGTCGTTGATTACGAACGCCGAAGTGCAAACGGAGTGCAGCTACGCTGAAGATCGAGATAGCAGTCGCCATTTTGACACCAAATGGAAAGATGGCATGATTTACCATCTCAAATTAAATAAAATCCCCAAATATCCATATTAAACGGTCAGGGTAAATTCTCTGCGATAGCCATAAGTATTTGCCCTGGGTTTTATTTTCCTTTGTGAGTGTTTTCTATTTATGTAACAAAACTAACATTAATTTACGGTATGTGCCTACATCCGCCATCTTTGTTCTTGATGTTCTCCATCCACTCCCCAGAAAGTGAGGACTGAGAATCTTGTTCGCGAACAAATTTCGCGTGTTGATTCTTCCCGTTCGATACCCCGTTCTCGTGTTCGTCTAACACAAGAACGGGGTTTCGAATACGCCCGAAAGGTCAGACATGACAGTGATCATGGCCGTGAAGGTGGGTGTAGGCAATACTCGACTCCATGTAATTGTGTACACAACGAATAATCTAATAGAATCAAGCCTTTTACACATCGGGGGACAATTTACCTTTGACGTCTTTCAAGCCGTAACCTTTGTCGTTGTCCACCATCAGCACAACCTCCCCCTTGATGACATCGCCCTGAGAAAACAAATTGACGTTCCCTTCGTACGTTAAACCAAGCCGTTTCAACTTTCCCATTGTCCTGAAATATGGAGGAAGGACTGCAATCAACAGGGTTGTTTCCTGAAAAGTTAAGCAGCTCTCTAACGGACGTATCAGCTCAATCAAAGTCATATAAAACATGACTAAATGTTATCCTGTTTCGAACAGGCTCCCAAACTGCCAGAGCATGCATCTATGACGTTTTACGATGCCAAGTGGCCCCACCTTTTTTCTTGGGGAAAAGGAGGAGAACAGGAAACAAGTCGTGTTGCCAGTGAGTTCTGTAGTATGTTGAATTTCAGTTTGTAGTTTTGTATATACGAGTGTCTCCGAATATTTTGGATTGTGTCCCACGAAGGCCACCACATAACACGAAGACTTTGACCTGACCAAATAACCTTGTAGGTATACAAATAACTGTCTGGAAGCCAGCGGTAAGCAACCCCTGTGTATCTGTTTGGATCAATTGCTAATGAATTAAAGTAGTTGTGTGGTTAAGTAAGTAAATAGTTACTTCAACGTCCGTTTGTGTGGAGTGTCTTCCAAATCTAAGAAATTCCATGCTATTGTGTTTCCTATAAAGGAAATGAATAACACTCTTCTTATTAAAAAAAGAGGAAAACATTGCAAACAGCAGAAAAAAAATAAATCCCGTTTGTGTAAGTTTTCATTTAATTGATTGTTTAACTTTGGCTTGCTAGCATAATTGTTTCTCCTTCAGTGGACTGATAAAAACAATCCCTCCCAATGTAAATCAATCAGGTTTAATTTTTGTTTTGTTTTACGGTGTAAAACATACAAATCGGAAAGCGCAGTTTTTGTAGATGTTTTGTAATTTGCATAGTTATAAGTCAGGTGAGACATGGACATGGCCGATGAATCTATAACAGCGAAAAGTAATCAGTTCAAACCGTCATCAGATTTACGAATCTCCAGCCAGTTTTGGTTAATGGTCACAAATAACTCGGCTTCTTGCTCGCGGTATGGCCCAAATGTTGCGTGGTGTTAGTCAGTTTAGCATCCTTGGAAATTGGTAAAGCTGTTTTCCCTTTCAAGGCCTAGATAATGCTAATATATTCTGCAATGATGATTCGTATTTTAATTTTGTTTTATTTTCTCATACGTGAGATGCAATTGCAATGACGTCAAGCATTATGCATATGCCATTTTGATTTGCAGACAAAAATATCCGCAGCAACACTGGGGCTCGGCGCAATTATGCAGTAAAGTGGTGTGGGCTGCATCCGCCGTTGAATATCAGGGCATTGAGATTAATAAAGACTCTTTCGTGAGTCCTTGTTGAGACATTTCTCAAGGTATGATTTGTCGAAGTTGCCATTTGACAATGTCAATATGTTAACAGAAATTAAAATATCCCGTACAATCAAAACAGTCCAAGTATACGTTTTCAAAATAGGACATTCGTGGAATGAAACTCACAATTGTCAAATCCTCAGGTTATCGGTCAAGTGAATTTTATTCACAAAGCGTTTGATAAAAACCGGCAAGGTTTCCTGGAAGAGTTGCCCTTCCAAGGGCCCTCTTAAGTAGGCGTGGGAAAGCACCCAACGAATAAAAAACGTGAATATTTCACGAACACAAAGACAAAAAATAGCTTTTGGTCACTCAACAAATTAAGACCCCCCCCAAAAAAAACTGACAAAAAAGACGGCCAACAGGCCGCATATGAATTCTACAGGATAGATTATAAAAATTAAAGTGTTTTACTGATTTAAACACATGCTAAAAACTTGAGAAGCAAAATCGCTTTAATTCAAAGGTTCGAAAGTTAAATTTGCTGCTCACTTGTCGAAATTGACCAAGAAAGCCTATATCATTGGCGCTCTTTACTTTCAATTGAAAGTTTTCATTTTCACTGCTAGTTCATGTCATATCGTTGCTGATCTGATTTTTATAAATTAGGTTTATGTACAGACTGACATAAAAAGTATGTAGATATTATTTCAAAATACGTGTAGTTTTTTGGAACTTTTTGAGGAAACATATATATCTTTGACAATGACGCGTTTGTGAGCAAATGCACTTTGAATACAGCTTGAATGTGGTCGTACAAAAGAATGATCCACAACTGAGCAACATTTCTTCCAATATTTTAGAAATTAGTCAAAATCGTACTTCTACTATACATTTCTAAAATTAAAACACAACAGAAATAGAGATTTGTAATAGAGTAGAAAACATAGTTTTGTTTAAAAATATAACATTTATACATGGGGAAATAACTCTTTTTTTACATACTTGTCGACCCTATGTTTGTATAAGACACAGATTGACCAAATCTTCATCATCGACAAAAAAATTAAACATTATCAGCCTATCTAATCTACAGCGGCAAGATTATTCACTGACTAACATGAAGCTTCAGAAAAAAAAATGGCATATTGTACACAGAACACTTCCCAGCCTCACACATCTTCATGTAAAAATCTGCGCAAAACACAATTGAAAATAAAATTTTCAACCTCCAAAAAGAAACTTGGTATTCACTTCTAAAAAATTCCCAATTATCTCATTTTATTCCGAATCCCTCGGCTGTATTTCAGAGCTTTGTGCTCACCGCACGCCTTGTTAATATTACTCCTATTACAAAACATTCCCAATAACAGTCACGGATCCAACTTTTGTCAGATTCGTACGGATGTGAAGTATCAACTGAGAAGTACATGGAAAGCGAGCAATAGTGGAAATGCAGTCATAATTATGCGCAACATATTTCCCATCTTGAATCTACGATCTACTTCCACAGCGTATGGAGAGGTATGTACAACAGTAATAGACGAAAATACAAATGGGATTTTACTGAAAATGTCGTGACCGACAAGGTTATTAAACTCCTCAGCAACAGTTTTAAACACCACATTACACAATAATTGAAATGTCAATTTTACTTGTGGGAAGAAGATGTGAAATTTAAGATTTCATTTTGAAATTGCCCTTCATGAGAATTCAAGCCACGTCTGATCCTACACTTCTTTGGAAAATCTTCTTGTTTATTATCACCTCAAACCTAAAACCAAACTCTTTATGATCAAGAAGACTTCCCGATTTCCCTCACAGTATACGGGAGTTTGTTCTCCCTTCTTTTGCTGGTCCCTTACTGTTGAGCAGGCGGGACATCGACCGTCAGATTGAAGTAAGGATAGCGAGGAACAAACTGGTCTTGATTGAAGTAATCCTCAGAGCTCCCTTCTCGAGTGAGTCGGTCAATCACCCCGACCGCTTCCTCGTAACTCGGTGGAGGAGCTGTCAACAAAAGCAGAAAAGCCAACATAATCAGTGACTTGGAATGGTAACCATTTTTTGTCCAAAACAAAATATAAGGGCCACGTTTATCGCAACTAATACGCTATTGAAGTAGTAATTTATTTCATACATCCGACTACCCACAGATGTTGAAGGGTAACAGAAATTGAAATCATTTGGTTCACGTGGAGTATTTCAAAATAACAATAAATATGTAACCATTTCAACAAATCATAAATTTAATGTTTACCCCATGAATTGCGACCCCAAAATGAATAAAAAGATCCCGCCCACAAAAAATCCGCTCCCAGGCTGATTGGATGACGTCACAGCCGCAACACTGACGGCGGTTTTTTTTTTCATTTCATTTTCATTTATTATTTCTCAGGTACACGTATCAGGACAAAGACAAAAAGCAACAAGCATAAAACAGGACATGGGCAACGTTGGGTTGTCAGATCTGGTGCAACCAGTTTATAAGTCTTCATCGGAGTGTTCCTGATCGACCTCAAATCCTGAAGCACTGGTGAAGCTGTTCCAGGAATTTACTAAGACCTCACCTGATGGACTGTTGGTGAGTCCGGACAATTCTATTCCGGCGCCATTAGCAGACGGCGCAGAGGCGACAGCGGTAGGGGGCCGTGTGACGGTCCGATGAGGTACTGTGCCGATAATCACATTTAACTTGGCATAGAACCCGGAGCTTTCAATCTGAAAGTATTTCAGAAAAAAAACTACAATATTTGACAGAACTCCGTTCCTCTTGCAAAGCAGGGCAAAAGGAGCTATTTCACATTGATTATTTGCCGACACAATCTGGTACGACTCTGTTGTTCGATTGCAGCATTAAGACTAATTGTAACACTTTAATCTTTCGACTTTAAAACACTATACCTGTTTTGTATGAGTGGGCCCACAAATTACCAACTATGTTGGCAGAATTTTAGGGGAAAGGAATTAAAAAATTAAAAAAGTGTTTTTACATCAAGGTGTGATAATGGGTGCCAAAACAGAGGCAAATACAAGGGTGTGCAAAACCCGCCTGCTGCTGTGGGCCCTTAGAAAACCTCTCTGGTAATCATTCCACTGATAGTTTATTTTCTTCCAATTTCACCCCTACTTTCTAAATGTGCACACACTGCACATTAACATGAAAGTGTCATCACGTCCACCGAACTCACCTTGACATAGTAATCAATATCAATGATATTGCAGCCGGGAAGGCCCGAAGGTGGTACCGGGGGTACTGTAAGGGGACCCACGTTGAAGTCTGTGACCCGACCCTTTGGGCATGCCACCCTCAAATGCAGTTCCCTTAAAGAATACTTCTTTGTTTTCGTGTAGCCTTTTGATCGGTATGTAATGTACTGGAATGAAAACAATGAAACCAACACACAACGTTTAATCACGGCAGGTTTTAGGAGCCAAATGGTAAAGTTTTACTATCAAACGCTCCGAGCAAGAATGGTACAATTATGACATTGCTGAAGTTTAAAAATACTTGCAACAATTGACAACCTCAAGAAATTGCCTGTAATTACAAAAAAGCGCCCTGTGAAATCAAACACAGAGGGAATCTGATTGTTAAAGAGTTCAGTTGCAAACATTGAGTGCCTTCTGCAGCTTGGCCAATTCAAGATCGAGTGAGACAAGCCCTCTAAAGTTCGTTTACCTGAAACAAAGCTGCTGTAAACATCCTTGTCTCGTCCCCGTCCTGGTTGTCCACGTGAACAATGACGTAGATACCTTCGCCGGGAACGAAACCCTTCTTTGGCAGACCAGCTGTGATGATCGATTCAGGGGAGCATCCACAACCACAACATGCGACTATCTCTTCACGATGTTGCACCTCTGACTGTTCATAATGAGCAAAGTCCATTCATACATAAGCAGGACAGGGCATTCATTCAAACCATTGCATTAGTACAGGAGGCAATGTAGCCCATCCTATTAGCCGCGAGCAAAACCAATAGAGGGCGTTTTTTAGAGCAACACAGTTCGAGCGGCTTGTTCTCGATGTTCACGAACAACTCGTGTTGTTGCTTGTTGGTCGGCCGCTCGAACGCCGGAAAAAAAATGACCGCTTATCCGCTGGTACTAGTGGCATGCAACATGGCGGCGTCCATGTACGTTCTTGGACGGTAAATGTTTGGATAACTGGGCTGAATTATTTTTCTTATTTAAAAGGAACATTCATTTCTGTGTTAAGGAAAATTATCAGTATTAATTTTTCTAAATTTCAAAAATCTAAATTTCAAGAGTTTTCCTGCGTGTTCCTGTAAAACCCTGACGAGGAGGTGGTGTGTGATCCTGTTCCGAGAACAGTGTTCTTGGGTCGAGTTCCCACCGTTCGAGTGCTAGAACAAGAAACTCGTGTCAAGAACACGGTGCCCGAACCCGACCTTTAAGTGGAACTTTAATTAGCTGGTACACGCACGACTATGAAATGCAATCGTATACAACGATGTGTTTAGCTCGCAGCTGCACATACATGTAACAAGTGTAAACTGGACCGTACCTGTTCGCAATATGCAAGAATATCGTTCTTTTCCAGGAACTTTTGAGCTTGTTCGATATCGGCGTAAAAGTTGAGATTTTTGTTTCACAATTTGTTCATCTGTTCACAAACCTGGGTATTTGGGTGCTGGTTGAGGTCCAGCGTCGGTCCAGTCATGCTGAACAGCTTCTCGCATTTGTAGTCCTTGTTGGAGAATATCCGGATTAATGACACGGTTGCCTTAGCGCGGTAGCGGATGTAGCCGTACTTCCCCTCGAAGGGAGACGGCAAAGGCGTCATCGGAAGCTGGAACTGGAAAGGAAAGCTGTTCCTGCCTGAAGGAAGGTGCAAACCCTTCATCTCATACTGGTATTTCCCTCAATAAAATAAAACAAATTAAGAACAGATTACCAAGAACAAATGAGCAAAGGAATAAGATGTACCTGTAAGTTAAGTACCAGGTTTGCGGTGCCACCATGCAAAATCTCTCTTTTGTGAGTACGTGTGGTTCTGAAGACATCCGAACGGGTACTCAACATTTTGGACAGTATGCTCCGTCCATCGTCAGAAATTTCTAAGGGGACAAGGCACCCTGAAATGGCTGGAAACTTCATTTTTGTTTTGGCACAATTTATAATTCTACCTATACGGCAAGAGCTAGCTTTAAATCTCGTTCAGTTGCATCCCTCATGGCAACCCATCGGGGATGGTTGCTCTGAACGATGGCTTGGGCCAATCGCAGTTAATTTAGGTTGGTTACAAGGATTTTTCGGATTTTGATTCAGATCGAGTAAGTATTTTGGCCTGGAAATTATTTGTATTCCTTCATCAATGATGTTAAAGTCAACTACATCCAGGGAATGCAACTGGTTTTCTGTGCACCTGTGTAAGAATCTTTGAATTGCAACACGAATGCAGCATAGCTTGATAGCACGGGCGTTGCCAAGGGGGGGGGTCGGGGGTATCATCCCCTTGGCTGATTTTGTCGGCAAAATGGTCTGTCCGCAAAATTGAAGAAAGTCAGGTAGGTGTTGGGCTAGGGAAACAGACTACAGTACACTCGTTTTGCTTGACGATCAGTCGGCAAATTTCATGTGGCACCTCATTCAAAATGCTCTAGCGACGCCCGTGCTTGACAGTTTGGTTTATGAGCTCATATTTATGAGTTCCAGCCAGTTTTAGCTTCCAGACTTAATCGGCCGCGCCGGTGTAGATGGTAAATCTGTCCCCTGGTAAAGATAAAACTGTCCTCTGGACAGAACTGCTCTGGTAAAGGTTTCCCCCGAGCCGTTGATTCTGATCCCCTCCACGTCAATTTATTATTTACCTCTTCCAAACACCACTACATAATTGTCGAAATAGCTTTCTTTCAAAGTGTGGGTATGAGTTTGGCTGCTGTTGTTGCTGTGACTTGTTGTTGTCCATTTCGTCTTAGCCTTGCCTTGAAACCGGATCCAAATACCTAAAGGTAGGAAATGGGTGAAAATAAAAAAATAAAACAAAACAAAACAAAACAAAACAAAAACAAACAAACAACCCAAAACCCCAACAAACAAACAAACAACACACGTTGAGCTTCAATGTGCAGCTCTGTTAATCGAAGTAAATTATTGGCAAATAATTTGCTCACTTTCGGGCTAGCCGTCACTAAACTGAATGTATCAATGGTGGAAATTAAAACAAAGATCGGACGACGCTTTCCTCCAGTTTGAAAGACACCACCAAAGTGCGAAAAAGAGATCCTAAAGGTAAAAACAAATGACAGGAAAAGGTGTCTACACGATGAAAACCAGACACGTCGGGAATTATTAGGGGAGGGAACCAGTCTAAGCAGGTCAAAAGTCGAATCGTAACTTTCCTTCGCATCATTCAAAACAAGCTGCTGTGTTTTTGCATCAAAATTGGATGATTCCCCGGTGCATCGGTCCGGCAGGACGGTAACTTGTAAAGGCTAGTCCCGAAGTAAATTCGAAGTGTCATTTAAGTGTCAAATGGCATTCAGTTGCATTTACTCACTAAAATATAAAGAGTAGCGGCGTGTTCAATAGCTTGCACGCTTATGTATGCGCATTAATAGAAACTAAATGTCCCTCTCAAATTCTGACAATTTTTTTTCATACTTCTAACAGATTGCCACAGATACCCCGGTTCCAATTTCCTATGAAGTTGATGCCCAATGAGAGATCTATTAGACATCAATATAAGCCTGTCCTCATTGTCTTCATAAATTGTGTCGCATTTTGATTTATTGGCTGATTTGAGGCTTTTGGAGCAGTTTCCGACCATACCAACTAACAGATAATGATCTAGTTCCCTCTTCTTTTGACCAGGTAACAAGTTATGCTTTTAAAGTAAAGTGTAGCTGCAACAATTTTTTCTTAGACACAATATTTCCTCAACTTTGTACTCTTTTCAAGGTATGAAAACCTTTTTACATTTAAAATTGATTACATGCATTGAAAAGAAAACTGAGGGCGCTGTTGCTCTCTTGCATCCTATATGATGTTTTTTGGCACTATTAGACTAATTAGTGCGCTTACAGCTTCCAAGTCAGGTAGTAAAAAAAACAGTTGAAACCTGAGACGGAGCCGAATTGAGTATTGGAAAACGGCCTCAGTGTATAGACAAATCCGACGAGACGTCATCGTGCACATGTCTTAATTTCAGCACGCGTGCGCACTTGGGCAAATGCAGCGCGCAAGTACGACCTGCGTGTGAACAGGATGGCCCCGCAGTATTGGTTTCCAATTCTTCTTACCGGACTTATCTGTAAGTCTTTCTGTTTAAATTGTGAACTCAGAATTTACCTATGCTGTAGGCTCCTAAACAATTCTGAGATTGATGCTTATATTGCTCTGCACAAACAAGACAATAGATTTAAAGAAAAGTGGCAGTTAGTCATTACCTTGGCAACCGTTTTTCTTTGTAAAATTGGCCGTTCACTCAATTTTCCTCAGAGTTTTTTGGTCATTTTGTAAGATCTGAAACTGTCAACAGAAATGTCAATTTAAATGTATTCGTTTTTTCGGGTGCAAAACCTGATAAAAAAGAATTAAGATTCAACAGAAGGGATGGGTAGGTTGCTCGGCTTTTTTGGAACAGGGTGGGGCTCGGAGAGTGTGATAAAAAATACTCGCGCACCTGTTTCAATCCATTAAATTCCGTGCAGTGTACAGGGCTTTAGTAAATGAAGGGGCGGGAAACCTGCATGCAATTTAGCAGATGACTGTGCCCCAAAACAAAAGTGCGACGGTAGACCACTGGGCAGATCCATGATTTTGTGCTCTGCGCATTCATGTCCAAATCAGACCTGCCGTACGCACTGAAGTGCATAGTGGGACAGCGCACACGGTCTGGAACCTGCGTGTGGGCAGTCCAGCGAAACCCCGTTCGTTGCTGTCTTTGGTAGCCCTACATCGTCGGTAGTATAGTTTCGCCTTTCATTTTCCGATTCCATCATTCGGCGTGGCTATTCGGATATTCCATTCGCCTTTGTCATTTTAATAAAGGAACCAGGAAATGAATTTTTCTTAGAATCACTTTTTGTGTATCTCTGCACTCTTCTTCCGTGTATGAAGACCGTTTGACATCTTTTTTGAGTTCGAACAGAGCGGTGCACTTTTTCCAACATTAAAAATTGGCCAAGCAGTTCTGGACAAGTGAGGGCGCTTTTGCTTTGATGTAAATCCAGGAGGACATGGTTCAGGTTGCATGTTTTCATGTTCAAATCGTGAACCCAAAATCTGCTATCTGGGAACATTTCTGTGCAAAGGATTTTTCGTATACTTACACAGCAATCTATTGCCAAAGAAAATAAAATCTGCCATAGCAGTGGTTTAAAAAAATCTGGAAATTTTCTGTGCACAATTCAGTGCCACATTGAGATTCAGTGCCTTGGATGACATCATAGTTCTGCTTATAAATATGCAAATTTAAATTAGTATAAAAACAAAAAAGCATCATAATATGGAGTAAAACTGAAAAACAAAATTTTAAATCGAGTTAATTGAAACCCCAAGATACAATTTCAAGGGTTTTAGTGAAATTTATACAAACATTTCTATTTCCTGGTTCCTTTAAACTTGTCACCTTTACCGTTCATCTGGCAATTTCACCACTTTCACCTTCAGCAGTTTTGCAGTTTTTTCAGCAAGGCAATCGGCAATTACACCAGATCGAATGATGAAATTGCCACAATATACGGTGTATGATGAAATTGCCCGACCGTATGATGACATTGTCACATGGACTGACGAAGGGTCAAACGAAATTGTGACCTTCATTAACGAAGCTGACGATATGGAGCTACGTACGGCAACGTCGTCCCGGTGTACAAACATTAATAATGTGATCGTTGGTGCGTGCTGCACTTGTTGAACACAAGTGCTGTATCATACGGCGCTGCGGAGGACGGGGTACTCACCGTGTAGTAATGGGCGCTGGTATAGTCGCCGGCGCAGGTACCGACCACTAGTCGTAAACACAGTAACACTACTCACAGAGCCTGAGTCGCGACTAGTCCACTTTCTATCTAGAAATTGGTGGTGATGACAAAATATAAACAATGCTTTTTGGTTTGAGAGACCTGTCAACTAGTCGTACAGGCCCACTGAAGCCTTAGGCTTACTGTTGGTGAAAACCTTCCTTGCATGCATGTAGGCCATTATGTACACCCCCCCCCACACACACACACACACGAGAAGAGATATACATGTAGGCTCGGCGAACATGTACTGTACAGTACATGTACACAAACACACACGAAAAGGTCATACGCAGTTATTATTGTGCTCTACAGAAAGCAATTTGAAAGCAGCTAAATTTCCACGTACGCAGGGTGCCAATTTACCTTTGACGTCTTTCAAGCCGTAACCTTTGTCGTTGTCCACCATCAGCACAACCTCTCCCTTGATGACATCGCCCTGAGAAAACAAATTGACGTTCCCGTCGTATGTTAAGCCAAACTGTTGCAACTTCCCCATCGTGTGTAGTACTGATACTAACGCCAGAGAGAAAGGACAGGAGTGTTCCCTGGAAATAATCAGGTGTTTCCTAACGGACGCATGAGCAGAATCAAATTCATATGGAAATGCATTCATCTATAACTGCACTATGTAGTGCACTAATGGATCAATGATACTTGCCCAGCTTTAAATGACCCCACACATCATCTTTTCTTTAAGATGGAAAAACAAAAACTGTTAAAATGCACCCTAAATTTCATTACAGTATCCGTGATTTTTTTCAATTTTTCGGTCGTGGGGAAAGCAGGTAGAGATCGAGGAACTTTTGCCTGTGACGTTGTGGCGTTTTCAGTCCCCCCGTGCATGTAAAAAATCGTATTGAAATCATAGGATTTGGGACTGTATGGTGCAATGCTCTGAAAAACGGATTTTTGTCCTGCTCTGACCATCGTACTACGCGAAAACTTTGACCCCCACCTCCGTGGCCTTGTACAAGAAGGCTTACGTACATGGAGTCACTATATATGGTAAAAGAATATATAAATTTCGTCCTCCATTTTGTCACGCAAACTGTTTTTTCAGGTTCAGCTATGGCCAGCCCAGTATTGCGAATTGTGTGCAACGTTCACAATTTGTGTGGGAGTGTGCAATCAATGTGTGATGTCTATTATTGTGTGAGCGATGTTTCTTATTCGTGCTACGTCTTATGTTTGTCAGCATTGTTTGATCTTAATGTGTGCAGTGCCAGTATGTTTATGCGACGTTTGACGGATATAGGGAACCACATGCAAGTGCGATACATCTGTGCGGTATATGTATATGCCGATGCTAAAATATGTGTGTTATGACTAGATGTGTGCAATATTAATGTGCATGCATGTGTGATAAATGCGATGAGTGGATTGGTTTTTAAAACAATCTCAAACATCTCAAGCAACTTAATTAAACTTCAAAAAGTCTTATTCGAATACCTATTCTTTGTTATAACGTGTATTTTATGGCCTTTATCAACCCAGTGTTTGCGACGGTATTTTAGAAGCTTCTGCTGGTATATCCATATTCCACATTCGTGTACTATTTACCCATATTCATGGAAATAAGTAATTGTTGAATTTAGCATCGTGAGAAATAATTTCCCCAGAGGTTTAGGACGGACCATAAGTCAGTTAGATGTATACTGGTAAGGTCGTTAATAATAGCCTTATAAAAAAGCAACACCGTGAGATGGTAGAAAAAATGTAGCAAATCCATGACACTGATACGTTGAAACACTATAAACTCGAAGAATAAGCTTTCATTGTTATATTTAAACGTATTATCATCCAAATAAGTGTTACTTTTCTTACCAAAATTTGAAAATAAGTCAGTCAGATTTACAAGAAGTTCTTTTAAAGCGTAATTATTAATGAATAGTTTGCAACTGAAGTCCGACAGTCCTTTTAGGGTACCACATTAAAGTGACCACCTGGAGGCTCACATTGTCTTGTATGATATTGGGGTGTGAATAAAAGAGGCTCCAATACAGTTACTTGTCCCGTCTGTTCTTGTCCCGTCCCGTTGCCATGTCTGTCCCTGCGGAGGTTGTGCATTAGGCGATACATCTCCGCCCAACGGGCCTGCCCCTCCGGTCGTAGGTTTCCCTGAAGGAGTACCACGCTGGCTGAGTGACCACCGGGGGAACACTTATAGTCCGGGGTATCTCGGTAATTCCGTCACACTATTATTAGAAGAAATTTTCAGGTCAAACAAACGAACGACAACCATGGAAATGCGTTCCAATCATTTATGCACGTGACCTCACTTACCACAAAGTGGGTCACCAGTCCATGCACTGAGTTCTGTTCCGTCATCTTCAATGGGTGTTGCAGTTGGAACAAAGGGATAGACCAGTCGGTGAGGCACGGTGCCGATAACAACTTCCATTTACACATGGAACCTTCGACAGTCAACCTAGACAGTGACTCAGGAACTTGGTTATCAATAACTACATGTAGAAAGGGGCAATCCCTAATATACATCTCTTCCTACGGCATCTGCAGTCAACGAATTCTACCGGCATGATACCATTTAATGTGAGAAAAACTCAATGATTACACAGAAACTCTGAAGCTGAAATGATTAAGCTATTTATGTGACACATAATTGAATTAATTTTTTGTTTTCATTTTTCTCTTAACTGGAATTCGATTAATAATAGATTGCAATTGATAATGGCGTGGCTGCATATTTTGCTTACTGTGTGTTAATGTTACAACACATCTATCCACACAACTTTAAAGTCAAGAGCCTGAAAAAGACAAACTGCATGCAAAGATCTCATGCGGAAATAACCTGCAAAATTCTCGCCATTGGGGAAACCGGCCTGACACCTTAAAACCAAAATGTAGAATGTAGCGGTAAATTTACAGAGCTTGAGTAGCAACTGGTTCAATTGCTTGATTGAGCGCAGCAATAACAGTTGTTTACCTGAAAAAGAGTAAAAGTGAAGGGCATTTCTCCTCCCCGTCGACGGTTGTCCACGTGACCAGTGACGTAAATGTCGTCATAGCCCTCCTTCGGCAAGACGGCAGTAAGGAGCACCTCCGGAGTACGTCCACAGCCAAAAACACCCCATTACTTGGCCGTAGTGCAGCGTTTCTTCCTGTTTATTTCAAAAAGTCTTAAAACTGGTATCATGAAAACATGCAATTTTCATTTTTTTCAAATTAGAGGCTCGCTCAATTGGCTCTGAATGCAACTCCCAGACGCTTAGCTGTTCGGTCATAAAAAATCACCACAACAGCCTGGTTTTGTTTATCTACGATGATTGTGTGATCAACATTAGTCAATATGGAAACAATACAGCCGTTTCACAGTAGTGCGCCATCAAGAGTTCACAACGCGTTGACCAATCACAATGCGCGAAATTTGTTGACCCAATGTGCGTTTGGAAAGGTTCGACAAATTTCGCGCGTTATGATTGGCCAACGCATTGCAAACTCTTGGTGGCGCACTATGTGAATCGCTCGTATTTTGTAAAAGCATGATTTATAGTTTAAAACCTCTCTGTCACCATAGTTTATTATCTTTTTATTTTTTGGAGGTTCAATTGTGACTCAGACAGTTGCCAAAAAGTCTTTGATGGCATTTATTTGTCTGATTCAGGGACCCATGGGCGCTGTGGCTGTCGCAAATGTGTCCCATTTCGTTTGCTTTGCATAACTAGGAGAAGAAAAATTAAATTGATAGCAGTCATCATAGTATAAAACATGATCTAATGCTCTTATCTATTACCAAGAATGCTTTAGATAGGTGTTTCAAAACACGGAATGACTTATAAAAGCATCCCAAATTCGTAATAATAATTAATTTTATTAAACTACAAGCAAACGTGTACACAGGAAAAAATTAATGAGAACAACTAAATAGGCAAATCTTATACGGTCATAAATTTACTGAGCCAAGTTTACAGCAGTATAGTTAGTCATCGAAATCATGTTCATCGATCTAAAACTCAGAAAGTAGGCCTAACAGTACGAGACAAACGTGGACATACGCCTATGTACGCTATACGCTGTTGCGCACAACGATCTCCATATCTGCCTTTATTGATTATGATTTATACGTATGATTGTCCGAGTGTCATTATTGATTTCGTAGCAGGTGGACTGATCTCTTACCTTCGACATTTTGTAGACCGCATCCATCGGGGTTGTCCAATGTGAGAAAAAAATGCCTCTTGATAACATCTTCTCGGCAAAATATATTAACGTTTCTGTCTTATTATCACGATTTCCCACAGTCTGACCTTATGTGTACTGAAACAAGAAGTAGTGCGTTCCTTACGATGGGTCCTAAAGGACCATGGACCCTCCCCCATCACTCGAATTCTTCTTATTTGTAGCACTCGAAGCAAATTCAATGTATAATTGAACCCTTCTGTTAATTGGACAGAAGTGGGCCAAAACACATGACACAATGTCACCCGCCCATCGAGGACGTTGATGTTTCAGCTGGAGTCAACTTAGGGCCTACAGGTTATTTGGTCACGGTGTTTACACGAGATCTAACATTGCAGATTTTGCTATGACATGTTTTTACGATTGGAAAATTTAAAATGTGTTATGTAGTTTTACATACTGTAAACAAAATGACACCTCTTTAATGTTTTTTTTAATGAGCCCCGATTATGGATATCATTGAGCTGGTACTGCCCTGTTGCCATTCAGAATGAGGATTAGGAGCTCATGCGTCCTGCGTTGACCAATCACTGTACTTTTACGGCCTATATAGTAACTGACCCCCTTTAAAAGACCTTTAAGGACGTGAAGGATAATGTGAAAGCAATGAGTGCATGCACATATCATGTAGTCTCGTTAGTGGTCCCTGCATTACCTTATACGCTGCTGGAACGAGAACGGGTCTGTTATACAAGTGTGACCACTGATTGAATTCCTGGTAACCTAAAACTTCGAGACCTCTCCTGACGCCTGTACGTGCTATCGGTAAACTAAGATGTCTCACAGTGAGTGTGATATGCAGATATATTGCCCTATCATGTGATTATTCTTGGCCAATGAACAGATATTATCCAAGACAGAGGTATGACAATAAGAAGTGTGTTTTAAAGTGATACTCTACGAATGCATTATCAGTTTGTACTTTGTTATTAAAATATAAGCTCACAGATGGACAAGAATTCTTAATCTATTTTATTAACATCATCGGGTTCATTTACATTTCTTACATGCAACGATGCACTTGACCATAAGCAACAAAGCAAGAAAGGCATCAATGAAAAGATGATGAGAAACTCTTAGTCACGGTTATAGTGAACACTTAAACTTAAATAACCTTGGCATACTCGTCCCTAGAGTCGGATTGCCTTTTCCGATACGCAATGTTAAAAAAGATTCTTGTAAAAGGATGATTGCATGGATTTCTTTAGAGGTACAGGTTGGCCCAGCACATTTGGACAATTTTTTTTCCAGAATGAACACTCAACTACATCAGGACAGGCATATTTACATGGGTATAAGAGCTTTTAAAGCCATAAACAAGCAACCTACAAACAAGAAATACACACTGGTGTCTATTACGTCTTACAGGTATTTTGTTGATTATTAACTTGCCATTAAAAGGCAGTATCTGAACCAGTTCTCAATATTCTTTTCGCTCTCCAAAATTCCCATTAACAGTTGTTTTATCGCATGGTGCAGCGACCTTTCAAAGATTACGTTAATTGCTATACAGTGTATGCTTTCAGTGGTGTAAATATGATGGGGGGGTAACCTAACCCCTTCCCCCCGCCGCCCCCCAGCTTTCGTACCTCAGTGACACCTTGGAAGAAGATAAGCGTGCCCTGACGTCTATTTCAGAAATTCCATCCCGTATATAATCTTTACTGTGATAATTTGCTTCGGGGCTCTAAAGTTCCTTTAACGTACCGCATACAATATTTCACAAAGCGTTTTCACAATGAGTAACTTTTATAATAACAACACTTTCTAGATGACACTACAATGTTTAGGAATGAAGACTTTTTTCAGCTGTAGATAAAAAAAATGTTGAAACATTTTAAAGGAAATATCAGCACATTCTGAGGTAAGTCTTCATATCAAACCGAAAGGCCGAGAATGCAATACCATTTTCTTCTTAACAAACGTTCATCACTTTTTTATTAAATATTAACAGGAATGAGAATCTTTCGTCTGATAACTGTGGTAACCATGCAAACCTTTCAATTTTACTCGAGACAAGTTTCGTCAACGGATTATTATAACTACAACGATGCTATAGCATTGACGTATTGCAGGGAGAAACGACAACACGCATGGCATGCTGCTACTGCACACACCCTATTAGGCACAAAATATTTAGCACCAGTTCTGCCCAACTACCCACCGGTTGTACATTCTAGCCAGCTGGGGCTAAGACACGGACGTGTATAATAAAATCTGGACTCACAATGCCCTTAAATCAGCTCACAGAGTCATTGAATCCACTCGCGGCCATTTTACCGGGCCGAATACAAAGCTTTCCTGCTTTGTTCTTTCTGACGTCAATAGAAGGGGGCCAACCCGCGCTTTTGTATTCTGCTCGGTAAAATGGCCGCTGGTTGGCTTCTTTTCCATACAAAGGCATTGCATGTCCAGGTTTTTTTTATATACATCCGTGGGCTAAGGTAACAAACATGAAACACGGGCGTGAAAAGTGAACATGGCACGTTTATAGCTATTATTCTGCAAGGTAGGTTACGGTTGAAAGAAACAAACACGCACACGTTCAATTTTTCTGTGGTACACAAGTGCCCCCTCTACGGTGGCAAATAGGCCAGGGCGACATCTAATGCCATTCACACCACGAACAAGATACTAATAATATCCAAATACGCTGTAGAGATATTAAATTTCTTAATTCTCAAATAACTGGTAAATACATACTCAACGCGTGACGCGTGCAAACAAAGACACGCAGCCATTTTTTTTTTACCTAAATTTGAGTAGTCATTGAAAAAAAACACATTAACTTTGGGAATCAACACAACGGCCTTGCCTGAAGCTATCTCGCGCCAGAAGGTGTCTACAGTGCTATCGCAACACAGTAATTTTTGTTACGTGGTAGTCTCTACCACTATACCTCGTGTATAGTCTTAACCAACACTGAATTTCTCATGTTCCGTTTTCCATCACAAATATGTATCCTTATTTTGACTTTTTCAAGTAAACGTTGACACGCTGACGTTAGTCAAACATGATGTGACCAATCCAAGAGGTAGTTTATTGCGTGTGTGTTACACAAAGCTACACTGCAAAAACTGTTGTGTTTTAGAAACAAAATATTTAAGATGACCACACCACAGGGTGTTACTTTGACAACGCCGGTGTTACTTTACACACTTATAAGTGTTACAATGCACTCTAAAACTCCTTTTGGATCATATTTGACACTTACTAGGTCATAATTCGGAAAAGGGTCATGCCGAATGGGACGAAATCCTGGGTCAATCTGAATCGGGACTTTTAGAGTGTGCACTGGAACGTGTTAAAAGTAATACCAAGAGCGCTAAAATAACACCAAGCTTTTTAACACCAGTGAAAAGTGTAGGTGTAGTCCTCTGATAACACCGCAGGTGTTGAATTAAACACCACAGTTTTTGCAGTGTGCATTTGGACTGTCGCCGGAGCGGTTATGAACGGCTGAGTTATGGTAAAACTACATAACAAACATGGTTTAGTTATGGTGGATAACATTTTTAAAAAAAGTAAGATGAGTTTAAAACATTTCTTGTAGTGTAGGAAAATACATTCTTTTGCCTTCTTTTCTTTTCATTACTGATGAACAGGAGCCCCGTCGGCCTGCAGATTAAAGTAAGGATAGCGAGGAACGAACTGCTTGTTACCAAAATACTCTTCCGGGTCCCTCTCTGGAGCCAGTCGGTCTACCACGCCGACTACCTCCTCGTAACTCGGTGGAGGGGGTGCCTCCGGTGGAGAGGCTATGAACATAGAATACCAAGAAAATTACGGTATTGGAGAAAGACAGTTAAGACGTCTGACACAAGTATTGGTGAATGCTATCTATAATCATTCACCATGGACTTCGCGGACTGTCTTCCCGTTGCTTTTAATTTAAAATGGAACACTTACAGATTATGGACACACAAAATGTGTTTCAATGATAAAGATTACCTCACCTGAGGGAGCGTTGGTGAATCCAGACAATTCTATTCCTTCGAAACCAATGGGCGGAGCAGTGGCAGCGGTGGACGGCCCGCTAACTATTTGGTGAGGCACGGTACCAATAATTACTTCGAATGTTGCACTAAATCCTTCGGTTTCCACCTAAAAGAAACTCAGAGATGGAGTAACCAAAATCCAAATAGCGAAAAATCAAAACACCCACCCCAAAAAAAAAAGTCTGAAAAAACGAAAAATGCACGAGAGGAAAAGCTAAATAATAGGTGAAAAGGAGATGAAAAAGACCAGACTGTTTGGGGAAAAAATGGACCTACATCCCGCCGTGAATTGTTTTATAATTATTAGTTGACAAATCCTTCACGATTCAAACGAGTTCCGAGTACCTCATATCACGACTGTTTCCTGCAGCCAATGTGTTCAGCCTTGTTTGGGGGCGTTCCTCATACTAGAATCTAACTACCAGCTTACCTCAACGTAATACTCTATGCCGATGATACTACATCCGAGAAGGCCGGAAGCTGGTACCGGGGGCACCAGTAACGGGCCAACGGTGAAGTTTGTCACTTGACCCTTTGGGCACGAAACGTCGGACTCAAAATGACTCAGAGAATACGTTTTTGATTTGGTATTGCCTCTTGATCGGAACTCAATAACCTTCGGGGGTAAGATATGATAAAGAATTCATCTTTTTGATCCAATGATATCTTTCAGACACTTCGAGTGCGTTTAAAAGGGACTTCGCAACTAGAAACCGAGATATTGCACTAAGAAACTAAGAATTTATAAACCTGGAGACATAACATTACACTGGTTTTGTTAATTCACACTTTAGAATTGAAAGTGAATTTAAAGCCAAATTTAGAATTAAAGAGATGCGGTTAAATAAAACTCCAAGCTTACGAATCCACGAATTCGGGATAAGGTCAATTTAAGCGGTCTGTCGGTTAATTACCTGAAGCAGGGTCAGTTCAAAGGCCACTGTCTCGTTCCCTTCACGGTTATCCACCTGACCGGTGGCAAAGATGCCTTCCCCGGGAACATAACCTGTTTTCCGCAGGCCAGCTGTGATCAGCATCTCCGGGGTGCATGTGCAGCCACAGCAGTCCGTTACCTCTTGGCTGCGATGCACTTCTTCCTGTTGATAGCAATAGTACATTTGTTCCAAAAGGTGCAAATTGGAAGACAGAGCCCGAGGTAAAGTCAATTGACACCTACAATTTCAAAGTCAAAATGTATGGATTTATGGTGTCTAACGGCAAACGCCATAGTACGTCTGCATTTTCAGTAATTTGCTTGATTGCATTAGCTTAAATCCCGTAGGTGTCTATATCCCCCATCATTTTGTGGGGGAATGGGCTATTGAATCATTCTTTGCACTTTTTTGTAGTGAGCCAAAAATTACAGCGAGTTGTGAAGAAGTTTTCAGACTTCTACCGACAAAATACACCCAATATCACTCGAAAAGGGAAAGCAATGCATCGGTCACTGTGTAAGCTACCAGGGTTTCAGGATGTTGGTTGAGATCCAGGCTGGGTCCGATCAAACTGAAAAACCTCTCGCTTTTGTAGTCTTTGTTAGAGAATGTTCGGATTAGTGACACTGTCGCCTTGGCTTGGTAGCGGACGTAGCCGTACTTCCCCTCGAAGGGGGATGGCAAGGGCGTGGCCGGAAGCTGGAACTGGAAGGGAATGTTGTTCCTGCCTGGAGGAATGTGTAAACCCCGCTCATCGTGATCATATCTTGCTGCCAGAGGGAAGGTGAACAAAGAAAAGAGGTTATCAAAGGAGCCTGTCGGCAACTGGACCAAATAGCAGATAAGAAAAAAGGACACTCTTTCAAACTTTTTTGGAAAACTTGGGACAGTGATGTCTGACATTACAAACAAGCTGGGTATTTGCATTCTCCCGCATTATTAGTCTTGGTGTATCTGCGCTATAACGATGGCCGCTACATGACACACAGCGGTCCACGTTGCCCTGGGCCTGATGTGTTTCCAATTTGTTGAAGTCTTTACGCGTTATTGGCTTTATCTAAATTAGAAGAAGCCATATGTTCATACCCAAGATGCTTCAGGGAAACCAATGGAAACAACCAACATAAGCCGCACCAGTGCACTGTTGAACAGCATATATGATCCGGCTATGCAGAGTGCATTTTTTGTCATTTGGTATATCTTACACTAGAAGTGTCTCAAGATAAATATTTTTAGTTTTAGTTTTACCGGGTAAAAGCAAATCAGTTCGGGACAAGAAACGAATTCACTGAGCACTTACATATATCTATCAAGCCAGCGGCGTATCCAGCTTTTCGTGTCGGGGGATGGGACAAATTCAAAAGCGAATGCGGCTTCGGGCTCATTCGACATGTTGAGGGAGGAAATGAACTTAAATGCC